GGGAAGGGGAAGGGGAAGGGGAAGGGGGAGGAGATGGAGGAGGAGTGGTTTTTTAATATTGTACCCAGGATGTGGAGGTGGGAATGGTGTAAGGTGAATTGGGGGTAGGGAGTAGGGAATAGGGAAGGGATGAGAGATGAATGAATTGGCGGGTGGGTCTTTAGGTGTTGTTTATTAGTATTCTTGGTTTTGATGAAGGGGAACTGTGTAATATGGCGTGTTTTGGTGGTGGGATTTGCATGGGTTGGGTAGGATTGTAAGGTAGGGTCGGACTATAGATAATGGAGATTTTGAAAAGAGGCGTGGGACGGGGGGAATGATCTTGGTGGGTGGTTTGAGGTAGGGTACCGATATGCTCGTGGATGAGATGGTGCTATTATCTTTCTAGTCCTTGAGGGAAATGGTATAATGATAATTCATCTTCGTTTAGCTTATACTACAAAACACTTCTCTGCTACTACAGTAAATATCGCTAGCTCTGAGGATTCTTTTTATATAGAGCCGCAATGTAAGATTACATACACATTCTTGACCCACCGAAATATCGACGTGGTACAAGGGGTGTTTTTGTTTTGCTATACTGGATCTCAAGATACTTGAGGGTTTTGATGACGAGCTTCTGGAACAGGTATTTGATTACCGTATTAATTAGATTACGGTGATTAACTAAACTGCCCCCTAATTAATTGAAAAGTCCTTAAATACCCCTTGCGTAACTAGGAATTGACAGGAATATCCCCTAATTTATATCCCTAAAAGAGTGGTAGTCCTGTTAGTACCACTTAGAAAATGGGGTATTTCTGTTAGTAATTCTACAAAAAGGGGCATTTCTATTAGTATATAGTAGTTCTAGGATTTTATTTCTTTATTAGTTCCTATGTATAAACATACTCGCAAATCAGTGAACAGATTAAATTAATCTACTACTACGAGTACCTATTTCCTACAACCCCGTAGTCCACCGAGCATGTTCTTTTTCGTCTCTTGACGAGCTTTTTATATGTAAAATGATATCTTATAACTTAATTAATAAGGTATTTCCGCTATGGGTCCTTCTGTGACTTGTCCTTTTGATCATCTGATTAGAGCCCCTTTAATTTCTACCCCCTACCACTCGACTGCTTTTGCTGGGTTTATCCAACTCAAATACTGGCGGTCGGCTCTGGAGTCTAAGTACGCGTAGCGCACTACTGAACTTTCTTGGATAATCCATCCGCCAGACAGCCTTTCCTATTGTGACTACCCATTTTTTGTGAGTTGCCTCGTTCCTTAAAAGGCCAGTTAACTCTTTGTTATCCACATGTTTCGAAAAGGCCAAGATTTCCGAAATCCTACCGTACAAAGGATCGAGTCGGGGATTGTAGGTCCTGACGTATTTTTCCGGATCTGGTCCATCACGTTGACCAGTTACCCATTTTTTGTCAAGGTCTACCCACTCAAAGAACACCTCTTTAGCTCTTTTGCCGTATTCAATTGCCTTTTCTCGGTATTTCTCTTCGGCAGCGCGATCATACATACAGTACAAGAGGACATCTCTTAGCAGGTTATATTTTGGCATATCTGTTACACCAAGGGCCAGAGCTAGTTGATGGGCCTTGCTGAAATTAGATTCCTGGTAGGCTTCCATAGCACTATCGAACTTTTGCTTCTGAAATACGTGTTTTAAGCGATCTTGAATTACCCGTTGTGTTTCCTTCTCTCTGCGGAAGAATTCTGAATTAGCATTAAATAAGATTTCAAGACGGATTCACAAAGTAGGAGTGGGGGTTTGTGGAGAAACAAGTCTCCCAACCTAAACCCATGGAGGAAGAGCCAACTAGAAAAATACCTACTGCCACAACGTTGCCTTAATTGTGTTTTCTCTTGTCATAGCGAGCTCTTTATGTAGCCATTTCTCTGCCTCGTTGGCATATAGTGGGGGCGGTGGGAGTACCCTAGCTTTACGGACATCCTCGTCGGGTACCCAATATTTAGCTTCTGGTCCATAGATTCTTGTGTTATCTGAATACTGATCCATCGACAATCCAAGTATACGAGGAGGATGCAGTGCTTTTACGCCTCGTGCTCCCACGTGGACGTCCCAAAATTCCTGTTGTCCCTGCCATTCCGAGAACTTAGTTGGAATGGGATACCAGGTACTGGTCCGATCTTCGATACCGTTCAATTTTCGAACTCTTTGAAGTATGTCATTCTGTCGTTTAAATTCAAGCGAAGTGGGCCAAGAACGATACATAAAACCCAACCACGGAACAAAAGGCGTGAAAAGGTTCTCCTGAATAGGGTTCAGGCCACCGCCGTAAATCTGATTGCTTCCTTAATTATCAAAGTTCAATGGTTCCATACGAGAGAACAAACCATATTTTCCCATGAATGACCAACTTCAGCTATTTCTTCATCTTCGTAAAACTAGGAAAGAAGAGAATAATTAGTACGCTGTGTAAGGTCTTCATAGCCAGGATAACGTACAGGCTCCGGCTCAATCGAAATCCATCGTCCATTTTCCTTACGATTTACGTTCTTTGCATTGCCGATTGTTGGATAGTCCGATTTCGGGATAACGAGGTTCATATCTGGACGCACTGCATGGATTGTCCATGCAAGAGCATGCTATGATCGCGGGTAATATTAACAGTTGTTTATAGAATATAGGATGGCTTTTTACCATAGTTTCGTGCACCAGCTAGTTTCCAGTGTAAGCCTTTTTCATTCTTGACCCAAAAAGATGGCTTTTTTGACCTACAACAAATGCCCAAGCTGCTTCCTGTACATTCCTTTCAGCAACCGTAAGTGTGTCATCCATTAGTGGCACTGACACCGTATAGCTCATGGTCTGCAACGAATTAGTTGTTTTCAGTAAAGACATATATTTCCGTACTATAAACGCCTCAGCTGGGTCTTGCATACTCGATGTGTACCCTAAATGGTTGGCGGTATCGTATCCAAAATTCAGGCGGATTCTATCCTTCACCATATTAATCCGTCTAATGTTTTCATCCTTGGTCTCTTGTTTGCTCTGAGCTTTCCGACGGCGCCAAATATAAGCACCATATCTGATGAGTTCTGGGTAACGAAACGTAGGAAGAAGGTACAAGTCTGTCTCACCGACCTTTTCCCACACGCCAACAAGAAGCCCATTCAACCAGGATGAAGACAGGGTAAGGTCTAACATGGCAGAGGCCAGACGTAAAGCTGGTTCTATCACGCTCCAGACATTTGGATTTTGCACATCCCAGGATCCCTTAGTGTGATTATCGTGATCTATCATAGTTAGTTCTTCGCTTGGTCGCCAATTGTTCTTTTGGTAGAGGGGATGTATTGGAAACTGTAGATTATTTGGCTGGGCCGTATCATCTGCAAAGCAGCCGGCCGACTGGAGCTCCGGAATCGAAAAGGTCTTGAGAAGCTCTCTCTCCGTCAATCTAATCACCTCATAAGATATGAGGTCCTTCGATCTCTCGTCTATCTTCCCATCGATCTTTGGGTAAGCAGCTAAATTTTCACTTGGCGCCATACTTGGAGTACTGAAATGTCTGATTTTAGGAAACGGTAGCAGGTAATCGTGTCTTGGATGCTCCGGTCCATCGTATGGTCCGTCTTCATACTCCTCTACCAAGCGTAGCTCCTCCTCCGTAAGATCTTCAACGCGTTTAGCCATATTTTTTGGGTACGCTTCCAATTTTCTGGAAGATGTAGGCAAAGATTTATGACAGTAGTCTAATTTCTAAAGCAAGTGTAGTACAAATAGAAGTAAAAAACTTATTGACCCAACTCTCGAAATTTTGGTGTTGCGGGGGGCTGATGTTGTTAAACTGACAAAGAATTGTGTGGCTTCTTCGTTTTCCGCATCCGGTTTAACGTCGCTTCCACAATGAAAAGCGATAGAGCTTACTTTCCATTGTTAATGCAGGTTCTTAGTTGTCTAATAGAGAGGTTTTGCCGCCGAAAAACAGTGGCAAAAATAGTGTTAAGTTTATACTAAAAAGTGGGCGATATCCGAGCGATATCTGACCGCTTTATTCGAAACACGTCGCTACTATTTGAAGTTTATTTAGAGGCTCAAGAGTAAATAGTACTATTCGAAGTTCATTTACAAACTAACAGTGAAAACCCTACTTTCCAGTCCTCAATTGAGCCTAGGTCGAGCGATATAAGCCTTCGTATTCTAAACAGACTATCGTATTTGTTTTTGTCTTAGAAACCGTCCCTGCGTACACTTTATTCGTTATTATTTCTTTACTATTAAAGGCCTCCAAAACCTCACGATAAATAGTAAGCCTTACTATCCATACGCTAATAAACCTTACTACTATTGTTATTTTTCGGCGACAAAACCTCTCTAGTATGAATAGAAAGACATTTCAAAATGCATAGTGATACCAGTGCCTATCGAGAAATGCAAGCTAACAAAAGTATGAGTTGGTGGTTGTATCTTGACCCATAAAAAAAGTTTCTATGAATCCATGAATGACTTTCAAAGAAATAGGGTCAGAGCGTCTTCATTCTTCTGTTACGGCATCCCGAATCTACAACTAAACTAGATGACTAAATCGTAAATCATAAAAGTTACTTTATATAGTAATAGGTAGTACTAGATAATACAGTCGGGTCTAAATTATTCTGTATACTCGAGTAGTATAATTATAAGTCCTCTAGATAATAAGTCCGTAGGTGTACCCTTTTACGTCCTTCTTAGTAACCCCCCCCTTCCCCCTATACGTGTCTCGTACGTACTAACTATATACCCCTACGCTCGTATATATTGTCGTAACCGCCGCGGCCCTTCCCTTCCCCCCCGCCTCCGACTAGGCGGCAAACAAATATAGCTTCCCCCCCCTCTCCCCCCTATGCCTTCCTGTTATTACTATCGCGATCACTTTCGTAGTCGTCGGAAAGGGTTGTTGTAAAGAAAGTAAAGAGAAAGTAGGAGGGGGAGAGAGGACAGGTAAGTAGCAAATAATTATTAGCGCGACACGTGCTAGCCTAACCTCTTTAGGAAGGTAGTATTCGGGGGCTAGGAATAAGCGACATGTACAAAAAACTTTCCCTGCTTCTGTCCCCTCCGCTACCCTCTCTCTATCTCCCTCTCTTTCTTCTAAACAATATACTAGGGTACAACCCCTATACGACAGTAAGTATAGGCGACAGCGAGGGACGGGGGGAGGGTACGATAGTGAGAGGGTGCGATAGTGAGAGGGTGCGATAGTGAGAGGGTGCGATAGTGAGAGGGTGCGATAGTGAGAGGGTGCGATAGTGAGAGGGTGCGATAGTGAGAGGGTGCGATAGTGAGAGGGTGCGATAGTGAGAGGGTGCAATAGTGAGAGGGTGCGACGGTAAGGGTAGCGAGTGTACACGAGAAAATTTCAAGGCTACGAAGTTTAAGCGAGGGTGGGGGTGTAGGGGTATAGGCACTCTGGCATAGTAGTAGCAAATATATGACTTTTACGATTTGCGATTAAGTTATCTGGTTTAGTGGTAGATTCGGGATACCGTATCTGTTAAAATTTATCTATCCACCTTTTATCAACGAAAAGACCCACGAACACGCAGGACGAAAAAAAACGAAATAACGAGTTCTTCCCTCGCGATCTTTTTTGGAATTAAACAACAACCACAAAGGCTCAATCTAAACTTGTTTTGTGTCTTTCCGATTAATGGGAAGTGTTCGGAGGGGGGATACTAAGGATGCGACTTTTAAGCGAGTGGATCATACTCCGTCACGTTTATAGCAGTACAGTAATTGAATTCTTGCAGGCTTCGGAGACGGATACAAGAACATCTACAGCAGTGTAACCTTGAGATAAGGATTCATCATCAAAACAATCCTCAGACCACCGATTTTATGTTTAATAGAGGGCAAAAAATGAGATAATTCTCTAAGCACGTGACTTGACCCCGCCTCATCGTGTTCACCATCTGAATATCAACTTCCAGATAACCAAACACGTCCAAGAACATAATGCCGCAAATTCAAAACCCCTAGATGTCCCGAAAACCCGCAAAGGTTCTAAGAATTACTCAAATAGCACGAATACAGTCTACGAGACTTGTATCTCCTGAGGATTGGTGGGGTGCTTGTAAGAGCGAAGCTTTCGATCCCGAAATAGGATTTATGTGTTCCTGGATCTCCAGCCTTCAGGTGGTTTCTCCGGATGAAGATCCCTCAATGATACAATGATCTCTTTCCGTATCTGTTGTAGCTGTTTTCCGCTTTGACATTATAACCCGGACTTTGCGCAGTTATAAACGTCCGTGGACTTGAGAAGCGAGAAAAGAGTATGTCTCGCCCGAAGAACATGGCAAGACTTCCACGGTGAGTAAGTTTAGTCCTTTTGTATCAAAATGAACGCTCATGCTGTATCAAAGACGTATCTTCTCCATCTACTCTCATGTAAAGAAACAACAGTTTTTTGCGCCCGGTCATCGAGTGATTGTTTTAGATTTTGGAGAAAGTAACACAAAACTGGGGATGTGGTTGGATAGAGATAGACACACACACACACATATAGACAGAGGGGGAGATAGGGGGAGAGAGAGACAGAAAGAAAGGGGGTGCGTGTGGGGAAAGGACCTGAAGCCCATAGAATAAGTAGGTCAAGAGTAAAAAGAGCATGACTTAGACATGATTTAGATCAGGATATATAATTCAACAAATAATCAATTACAAGTTTATAAGCATAATACATACAACGAAGAACAATATTAATACCCGCTCCACCAAATCATACAACATAACACCCACTACCTCCATGTCCTAGGTCCAAAGTACTCTCCCTTAGGAATAACAGCTTGAATAGCCTTACCCTGCGCATCCAGCGTCGTACCTACAACATCATTTCCCCACCACTTTGGAGCCTCGATATTATTCATGGTGAAAGCGAAGAATATCAAAAGTGTGCTCAAAGCGAGACCCAAATCGAGACCACTGCTCGTCAAGTAGTTCAATCTTGACCACCAGCCAAAGTACCTCTGTCTGATGACCTTTTGGAAGATAAATCCGACGACACCCCATGAGAGGTAGTTCAATGGGGTGGCGGGAGGAATTGCTGCGGCACCTCCAAAGAACAGTGGTGCCATGAGGTATTTGATTGGTGAGGCAGGCCACTTCTTGGCTGCGAAGTAGAAGATTATTGGTGTGATGGTGCCGAGCCCAAAGAACCAGAATAGACCGGAGTAGATCTGGCCTGGAGAGAACATCCGAGCGGGACCGATCAATCCCCAGATGACGGACGCTTTAGCGAGTTAGTTTTATGAGATCCTTTTTGAGAAATGCAGAGGAACAAACCGGAGAAAAACACCCTTCCACCTGGGCAACTGAAATGTTGTTCCTGATGTGGCGTGCAAACATCTTTGATGTTTGTAAGAGCAAAGTTTAGAACACCAACCTGGATGAAGCATGAGAGGGTCGTGGCAACGACTTGGCACATGAACATTGTTCGAGGGGGGATCTATTTCCAAGATTAGAGAGTTGTTTCGGAAAAGCGGAAAAGAACATCAGGTAAAGTTGAAAAGTGCTACTCACTTTCATGTAATGACCAAATTTCAAGTCGCCAGTAAAACTCAGAGCCTGGGACCTAATTTGATGTCAGCAGGAGCAAAAAGGATGAAACCGAGTGCTTGGCCTTACATTGCAATGTAACCATATGTTTTGAAAATCATAAGAGCGAGTGGACGACCTGGCTGAATATATCCATAGATGAATTCGGTCAAGACATTGAGACCGATCTGGGTGTTGGTAATTGCCTGAATGATTCCAATTGGGAGTGCAAATCCGAAGGAAATAAGCATAGCGAGCGCAAATGCCCACCATGTAAGCTTGGTATCGAATGTCAACACAGTCACAAGACTCAAAATAACCATGATAACAAACAAACTCAAATACCACCAAGTCGGAGCTTCTTTGTACTTCATCATCATCTTCATATGAATATCGGCTTCTTCTGCTTTACTATTGCGGAACTGTCTCCAGATCTGTTTACCATGATGTAGGTAAGTGTAAACAATGAGCGATGCAATAGCAGCGAATGAAAGTCCGTATGCCAGTGCAAAAGTCGTTGAAATGAAAAGTGGAGAGTATGCTTCATATGCCTCTACGTTCAAGGTGAAATCTTTGTTCAAGATTCTGCTGACGTTATAAGGCATTCCAGTGTTGTCGTAAGTACCACTATCGCTCATGGGGAGGTATTTGGCGCTCCATGTATTCGTGTAATGCAAAGCGGTAGCCCCGATGAGAAAAAACGTGACGACACCGATCAAAGTATTTGCAATTGCGAACCACGGTGGAATGAGAGGGGAGCCCACAAATCCCTTCAAGTTGTCAGTATTTACTTTTTATCTTCAAGAGTGAAGTGATTAGGAACTTTGCAGGAAGAATCGACTGAAACACAGGATGGAGTGTATAATAAACAAGCAACTTACGGAAATCTGAGTCCAATCAAATGTAATTGGCAAGAGTGATAGCCCAGTCGATCCTCCAAACAATTGGTTGACAATGACATTGTCAGGCGCAGCCCATGTGGCAAAGGCGAAGACGCTCAGAAATTGAGCGAGGAATCCAGGAATGAAATAGTAAACAAAAGATGCAAGACAGATATAGCCAAACCATCTATAACGTGGAATTCTGCCTCCAAAGACGGTGGGATCTGGCTTTGTTTCCTTTTCATACATCGCATTCATTAGTGTCACGGCTACCAGATTTCCTGGCCATATCATTGCCGCAGGATAACTGAATATGTTAGCTTCTCACGGTACCAATAATTGGGGTATTTCTAGTAATGAGCTTACACAAGATATGGACGCAATATTCCCGCAATACCGTAACCCACAGACTGAGTGGACACGGTCAGCATGAGCTGGAAAAGAAGACCAAAATCCTGCTTGTAGAAAGCAAGTTGAGCGAGAATGATATCGGTAGCATACGCCGCTCCGAAACTGACACCTGCCATAACGACGATAATTGAGTGTTCCTTGATATTGAAAGGACCTGGGTTTAGTGACCATTTGATCCCAAAAGTGATGAATTGTTTCGTAGGCATGACTTTTGCCCAACTGTGCCCAGCGTTAGTCGTTGATAACATTCTAGGAAAGTAGTAACATGCCCGTGTCCAATTGGCCACGCAATGATCTGAGCAACTAAAGCACCGAGGCCAATTGATGGTGCTCGAAGAGAGAACAAAGTATTCATTGAAGCCCCCAAGAATACCAGAGAAAGACCAATAGTCCAGGCCCTAATTGTGTTACAGGGCACATCTTCATCGTAATTTCGTACTGCTGCTCTGACTTCTGGGTACGGAGAGTCTTCAATTTCCTTGGTTGCAATCATATCATCATCAAACGTCGAGGTCTCTACACGTTTAAGCTCATGATCATCCTGGGGAAGATTGGGATCTAGAGGACGAATATCAGTACTTGTTATTGTAGTGTATCAAATCTTTGACCCATACCCCAATGCGACAACCTGCTCTTGAGATCAGCTACTGGATCTAGTCTCTGATCTCTCTCGTATGCTGATGACACCGCAGCAAGTTTTACTTCGCGCGTGCTTACTTTAGCGCCTTCCATCTTCTCGTCATACGTAGGAAAGTCTCTGTAAGGTGGAGTTGATGATCTGCTCGCAGAAGCCGTACCTGACGAATTTGCTTCGAAGTGTGAGGCCATAATATATGAGAAGTCTGGTGACGCGGAGAACGATCAACGGTCTGAAGATCCACAGGAGTAAAGCACAGATGTATATAGGAAATGAATCAATGGCACAATCTGACTAGGAAACTCTGTGGCGCTGATAGCCAGAAACTCTCTAACCTACATGATGCACCATGTAGGGAACAAGGTGGAAAATCCAGATAACGCTCTCTGCCGAGATTCGCCTGAATTCAGTTTACAAGCTCCTGCAAAGGGGGGTGATAGTGCTTCGATTGGGAGAGAAGTTCCGACTAGCGAGCCCAGATTTACGCAACAGGCACTTCCATGAAAGGACTTGACTGGAAATACCCCAGGTCAGGACTGATCTTCTGGAACATTTCAGAGCCGGAACAAACGAGCAATTTGAAGTTCCCATTGGCTCTGTCGCTGTCCAGATTCTGGAAGATAAAGACACAAAACGAGAGCAAAGTTCCCCGAAACGAAAAGTGCTGCACCAAGCACAGTCTCGATCATGCGCTTGTCAGATCCGCAAGAAACATCCTTCCACACCGATAGCCCCCGACAGATAGGGAGATGTGACAAACTACACCACCGATCTCTTAAGCACGACTGGTGGAGGCTCAACTTGTGGCGGTCGCAACTAGCAAAGCTTGTGCGTTACAAGCGTTGAAAACTCGAAACATCGAAACAAAGTCCGTTACCACCCGCAAGGAAGGAGGCGAGAAAATAAACGACCAAGTTAGACGATATAAACAACACATTTCCCAAGATATTATGTGCAGAGAGGTTGGAAAATGTTCTCTCAGACTGTAGTTGTGATGTCTATGGAATGGAGAGTGTTGTCCATTTGAGGTTATGTTAGCCGGGTCATTCAGGGGTTGGAGGTTATTAGGGTTTAGGAAACGAGAGGGTATGAATAGTGACTTTGCAAAGGTGCAGCTTCTAGCTCACCATATCCATGTCTCACATCATCGCACGGCGATTGCTTACGGAGGTACTGCAGGTGCTCGCTTGACTGCACGACTGCAACTACCAGTACTGCAACTACCAGTACTCGACTTCACAACACCGGTTGAAAAACATCCAAACTTTTTCCACCCCTTGACAACGACAAGATAGAATGGCAGGACGATGCGACGGGTGGTAGTAACGGGCCTCGGCGCCATCACGCCATTGGGAGTTGGCGTTCGGCAAACCTGGACACAACTCCTGGCTGGACATTGCGGGATCCGGAGCATTGCCGATTTCGAGCCTCAAGCACAATGGCGACAACTGCCCAGCACCGTTGCGGGCGTGGTTCCTCATGGGAAGAGGGAGGATGGAGGATGGCAATCGTCGGACTGGCTGGCCCAAGGGGAGGAACGGCGCATGGCCAGATTTACCCAATATGCGGTTGCGGCCACGGAGATGGCTCTCAACGATGCTGGATGGCGACCACGTAGCCAGGAAGACAAGGAAACAACGGGCGTCTGTTTGGGCAGTGGAATTGGAAACCTCGAGGAGTTGTACAACACCAGCGTGGCTTACGGGCAACATGTGAGCGCCTACAACGAACCAGGACTGGCTGGTTGATATTCTCCGTAGCTCAATCTTTTGCTGAGAACCGTGCACAGGGTTACAAGAAGGTGTCGCCCCTGTTTGTGCCTCAGCTTCTCATTAATCTGGGTGCCGGGCATATCTCCATGAAATATGGATTGCAGGGACCCAACCATTCCGTCACGACTGCTTGCACAACAGGCGCGCATGCCATTGGGGACGCCTCACGCTTTATTGCTTTTGGGGACTCTGATGTCATGATAGCTGGTGGCTCTGAATCGTGTATTCATCCGCTTGCGCTTGCGGGATTTGCAAGATCCCGGTCCCTCTCGACATCGTACAACCATGATCCACAGTCCTCGTCCCGTCCTTTTGACGAGGATAGAGCTGGCTTTGTGATTGCTGAAGGTGCGGGGGTGGTGGTACTGGAAGAATTGGAGCATGCCAGGGCCCGCGGGGCAAACATATATGCAGAAATCCGAGGGTACGGGTGCAGTGGGGATGCCCATCATATGACCGCTCCTAAAGAAGATGGATCTGGGGCTTCACTAGCCATGAAAAGAGCTTTGAAGAACGCAAGCATCAGACCTGATCAAGTCGATTACATCAATGCACATGCAACAAGCACACCACTTGGAGACGCTGCTGAAAATGCTGCTATCCAATCTTTACTACTAGGAGAGCATGGTTTCGACCACGGGTCTCAAGTCAACGTAAGCAGTACCAAAGGTGCTATTGGCCATTTGTTGGGAGCTGCTGGAGCAATCGAGGCAATTTTTGCTATATTGGCAACAAAAGAGGTATTCTCACATCTGGCTCCCATAACCGCATATGTCAGCTAAAAACCCCGCAGAATATTATGCCACCGACGCTCAACCTAAACAAAGTTGACCACAACTTTCGTTGCAACTACATCCCACTTTTTGCTCAGCAAAAAGAAGTGCGTGTCTCCTTGTCCAATAGTTTTGGATTTGGTGGCACCAATGCCTCGCTAGCGTTTTCAAAATACACATGATTTCTATCAGGTTGAGTCGCCAACTGACGCAAACAAAAAGTGTATCTTAGTTTCGATACGGCATATACTGTGATATCAACAGTGTTATGCAGACTGAAAACTATTCTAGCGAATGATGTTTCGGTACTAGCTACAACACATCTCGCGTTGTTTACCCACCCAGTCTGTTCACATCGGATACCAGATAATGAATCTGCCAAAGAGAACCATAATCAAGATCCTTTGAACGAGCCAATGTTTCCAAATTTTTCTCCTCTCACCGTGTACCATTCCCTGAAAGAATCCCAATCGCGACACGTATGCACCTGTGGCTCTCCAACGTAAATCCGATGTCCCTCGCGTCCGGCGACGAATATTGGTATTGGCGTTAAGTCCAATGCGCATTGGATGTTTTGTCGAATCTGCTCGATGCAGTGGTCTTGAAACGAAAAGTCAGAATCAATCTTTTCACAGTATTGTTGTATCCCTGCTTACCGATATGGGTCTTATGGTAATTCTTTGGTAACTCGTCAGGGTTGTGATGAGTATAGTTGGGGCCGTAATAAAGTGATTTTCGGATTGCATTCAGGCAGTGCAATGAGTGCATCACCTCGGGCCTTTATCTAGTCAACACAGGTATCATCGCCAATGGCCTAGATGGGCTTACTCGGCTAAGTAAAGGCCTTCAACGAGATCATGCCTATTCAACTTCATAGCTTCCTCTTCACTAATGATGAGATATTGTCCTTCAAGAATGTCATTATTCTCCATGGTGTTTGACTGCATGTATAGGCTTCTTACCTTTCAAGAGATTGTGCCATGCTTCATCTATCTCGGGCGATGGTTCTCCGACGTACTTTGGATCATTTGGTCCATATTCAATGTACACCGTGTCTGCAGTGTCGTTGGTTCTGAAGGTTGCCGTGTACTTCTTCTGTACCAATTTAGCGGTTCCTCGTACCAGCTCTATGAAATGTCAGCCACGTGTTTTTCTAGAGTAGGTGACGGGCTTTCGTACCCCAATCGGTGGAGTATCCACGTTGTTCCTCAAGAGCATGGTTGAGTTTGATCGAGAGATGGAGAGAGTAGGATGCGAATGATGCCACGAGGATCAACAAAACGACGGTGACCCAAATGGGGAGCCAGTTCTTGTATCGCGTTGTTACTGGTTTCTCTTCGGGGTATTCCGAGACGAGCTGCTCTGTAGACGTTGCTTCTGTAACCTGGTGGTAGAACACCGATGCACCTGGTTTCTTCGAAAGCGTGCTGTTGAATGCCATTGTCAATGTTGTGGTTTGTGTTGGATCGATAATGGGTTGTAGGGGTGTCTCGTCACACATGTACTGGTATCAGCTTCAAATTCATCGAGTGCAAGCAATTTGTTGTCCAGTGTCCTTGTCTAGGATGGTCCTAATCTCCTTGTTGGCTTGGTAGGTATTTGTAGATGTTGCCCACCTTGTGTGCTCGGTTAGCGTGGCCAAGACTCGCTACAATTATTCGCCGAAAGGGGAAAGACAATCTCATCAGGAAATTTGAACAATTGCATAAGCGTTGTTCAATCACTTATCAATTCGTTTTCCTAACCTATTTGACGTCCTCCAGAGACAAGAGAATGCATACGACTTTACCAATGTACCAAATATACAATTCCAGAAGTTTCAAGATTGGTCTAGCTCTCAATTGATCTCGACTAGGCTCGGCATGTGTGAAATCTTCCCACCCTGGAAGTTGCAACCGGAAGCCGGGGTTGATGTTGGGGTGTTGTTGATTAAAATACCATTTGATCCGATTGGCCATTTTTGAAGTTCACTTATATAGTGATGGACTTGTGGCCTGATTACATGAGATAAAATCTGGATTAGATATATCACAATTCTTGGATACCAAGACTACCTCACGTCAATGATCAAGTTGTACAAGATTTGGCTTTCAACTACACAGCATGTAGTTTGGAAAACTTGGTGACAGCGAAGAGACACAAGACACATGGTAAAGATACATATAGCTTCTGTCGAAATGCTGCTCGTGTTCTTGCTACATAGAAAACATCTTTTTATTTCAATTTACATATCAAGAATTCTTACATTGCCCCACGCCATACATCTAGCGATCGTGCTCTTCCTTGTGACTTCTTCCCTTCCTCGAGCCTCCCCCTTACGCCACTGTTGTAGCAAGCTTATCCTATGGCGTACCCTAAATACACGTGAATGGATAAGACATCCTTTCTGGTGAAATCAGCCGTACCAGGAATCGGGAGTTCTGGGCGCCGATATAATCAATTCTAAGCGACAACTTGCACGTTTTAGTACATTCAGTGAACTTCTTGTCCCATCACGTCAACTTTGGATCCATTGTTAGGAGGCTTGAGAGGAAGAGGATGAAAACTTTCCAATTGGTGGTCTCAAAATACGGGAGCCACTTTTGGTCGATGATTAGATTACTGTGCGTATTAGTGAGGTTGAGGATCTCCTTGCAGGTGTTGCTGGAAATGTAGGAACGGTTTTGAAGCGCGAAGGGGTCGATTCTGGTAAATGACAAGGCCATTAAAGACTCAACGACCCCAGAAGATTTCTCGCACTCATAGCTAGAAAATGCAATGGCCTAATGCCTTCACCCGGTATCGGCAAGGGATTCAAGAATGACATTCCTATATGTGAGAGCTGGAGCCTGGCGGGTCACTAAGTGGTCTTGGAGATATCTGTCGTACTCTCTAAAGTTCTCTCAATTTAAGGCCATTAAAACTTCTTGAAAATCTAACATATCTGAAAAGAATATACCACTTTGAAGTCCAACATTTTTATAACTATTAAGAAGCCTTTTGATACTAGAGCTTAAGCTACACTAGAAAGTTTCCAGGTTGCGTGGATCTCGCACGTGATCATCAACCAATGAAAACTCTCTCTCCGCCCCACCAACCAACCGTCTACCACAATATGAGCCAAAATAAGACAGAATCGAGCACCTATTAGGAGAAGTGTAGTCGAAGCTCTCCGGTGGCGCGATGGTAATATCAGTGACTAAGGAGCCTAGTAGGAACGCAAAATAGGTAACCCCAGATTGCCTCAAGCCCTCAAACCTTGGGTTGATGGGGGAGAGATGTAAGTGGCCACAGGGGGACAGCACGATTGCTACCTATTCGTAAGTGATTCTCTCGTAACAGCGCCTGAGTCTGTCCGGCACGAAAAGACGAATTGTCTTTTTTGACGTTTTTTTGGGCAGATAAATCTTAGTTGGGGATAGCGCGTTGTGGTTGTGGAGGTGAGGTCGGTTAAGCGAGGGTGTGAATGAGTTGCATTTCTGCCAAACTCATGTCCAAGTGTTTCAAATGTGGTAACCAAGATTGCTTGTCCCTCACTAGGTTAGTTGGGTGCCATACCCATGAATTTTGGCTGAGATGTGCTGGATTCCAAGGCATTCAACACGGGAGGTCACTGAAACAAAAGCATCCTCTTTCAATCCGCAATTCGATGGACATAAAACGCATTTCACTTATCTTTATCTCGTACGAGTAATCCTAAATCACAACTGGGTATTTTCCACAGCGCTTAGCCCGGCTCACATCCCTTACTTTACTGTACAACACCCGACAAACCAACAAACCAACCAACTCCAATCAACCAGTAATACTCGAGTACACATAATCCCCAGCTCCTTTTTAATTCAATTATTGGTTGAGATAGACCCAAGGCCGCACCGAAAGACAGAAACCCGCAACACCTCGGATGAATGGAGCAAATTGAAAGTGACACTTTAGCCAAGCGACGTTTGTCACAGCAGGCAACAGGAATGAACGAATGAGTCTCGCACTGAACCAATCACTGAGGTCCAATAGTAGGGAAACCTGGGGGGCAGATGAGGTGTGGAAGTTAAGGTCTTACCATGAATTGATGAAGAGTGGAACGGGGTGCGATGTGCAACAAAGTCGGAAACACTTTTGAGAGGCATGACGAGATGTAGTTAGGGTATGGTATATGTGTCGAGTTCTTGTATCCATGGATTTTGTAAGAGTGTGCTGTGTGGATACATATGGGGCTATTATTCGAGTACTTGTAGGGACCGTGAGTTTATCTGACTCTTCCTTCATTACTCGGAAATACCCTGAAGGATATCCTTAGACCAAAGGACGGAATGCCCATCCATCCGAAACCCAGAGCCAGCCTTATCAGGCAAAAAACCAGCTCTCATCTCCAAGGCTCCAGCGATTGTCCACCATGCTTCATAGACAAGTTACCGTGATTCGCAGGTAGATCACTGCGCAAAGTATAGTAGGATACCACTTCGCGTTCACCACATCACTAGCTCCAACAAAACAGGGCCATGAGCCCGATAAATACTAAGTAGACAACCTGTGCGACACGAAAAGGGGACACCAACAGAATAACCGAGAGCCACCATAATTCCGCAGTAACCACTCTTATTCAGTATCTCAGCCTGATACGCTGTCAATCCTCTGACCATGATATCCCCTTTCTCGTATTTAGGCTGAATATGAGGCCTTACTTCCCTCTCTTCTCTCGCTTTGTTGGGAATGAATGTGATGGGCTGGCTCCCTATTCTCCATGCTATAATTACCAGTTTCGTTTCGGATATGGCGACTCGTTAGTCGACGATAGTTATATCAGCTTGGGATCCAAGCCAGCATACGATAGATCCGGTTGTTTTCTTGAAGGGGCATAAGATATGTTGGCAATAACATGGAAAGGACACCGAAGACTTGTTTTAGCGAGATACGAGATAGGTGACGGATTTATAGTAGTGGGGTGTGATGTCTTTGAAAGCCAGTCAACACATACCATCCGCATTCTGTATCATATTATCACCACTAAAAAGGTTCCAGTTCGGTCAGTAGAACCTACACGTTCACAATCTAGAGGAAAACAGAAAGGAGACATCACCATAAAACATATAAAGATATTCATTGTCCTTTGCCAGAGATCCCAAAAGCACATTCCTTCCCCCATATCAGCATTTGCGAATCCTAGGGGAATACAAATACCCCACTCCAAGATTGAAAGACTTGATATTATGTTTAATTACCAGGCCTTGCATCTTATCCAGGTACGAGTTGACGTGACCAACGAGTGCAAGATGAACAGGTGACTTAAATGTCACAACTCCGTCCCGATGGAGTCCTTCAAGAGCCGCTTGCATATTAGACCTGTCGAAGAAGATGTGTTTTCAAATCCTTTGAGGTGGGAGTGATGGAACGCGGAGGATCAATATCTTTAGTCCGCTGGAGAAATGTCATTCATTATGACATCTTAAGATACGCCATCAAAAAGATTCCAGGAGATTGTCTGTATTTTTCAATCAAGTCAAACTGGAGTACGCACTCCCCTATCCGTACATGATGGGGGTCGCCCACGTAAGTGAAGTTATTACCAAATCAAATCAAAGGCAGTATAAGTAATCCAACTACATCCCAAGTAAGCGCCATCTACATATTACGATATGTAGCCAAAAACAAGATATATTTGTAGGGGAAAAAAAGGAAACGCAATCTTACCTCCCTCTGAATCTCCAAACAATCCATTCTCTATCATTTACTTCAAAAGCACTCAAAGCAAACAACGAACAGAACCCCTTCAGAAGCTTCTTAAATAGGAGATTTACAATGCCAACCAAGACACAGGATAAACACGACCTCTATTGCAAATCGCAGTCTCCAATCTAGATTACTCCAAGAGCGCAAATACCACACAGGATCGAGGATAGAAATCCACCACACATGCAAACAAAATAACCCCACAATGCGACAAGAAAAAAAAACACTCCAAAAAAAACCTCACAATAAGATTTTATTGCAAATCGCAAAAACTCCTGAAAAATACCTCTAAACGCAAGAAAAGAGCCTAACACATGCCAAATTCCCACAATCGCAGCAATAAGCAAAAAAGACGGGTCGTTCCCACTCAAGGTACTTTTTTTGGCTTGGCAAGCCTCAAGAAGGGAAGGGTTGAGAAATACGAGGAGGCTCGCTAAGAGAGGGGTTTTCTGCGGGTGATTGACTAATTGACCAACTAGTTGGAGAAACAGAATGAAGAAGGAAATGGAATGGAAGCTAGGTTTCAATACTTACTATTGCTCAAGAATTAGATTGCAGATTTGAGAATTGTGGATCGTGAAAGATGTATTAAAAAAAGGTCTAGTGTTTTCAGTAACCCAGGTCCTATGTACGTAGAAATGCTCAGATGTATACAATTGAATCAGAATGCACTGCATTTTTCAACCACTCAGATGGCTGCACCACTATTCAAGTTCTGATTGCTGTTTTGGGGCAATACCTGGTGGCATGGTCCACACATACCCCTCATCGACTTTCATGGCCCCCAACCAGGCTCAAGTATCTTGACGTCCAGGTAACCGTTATCAACTCAGAGGATCCCCATTCATCGTGATCGTATTGATTTTCTTGGTCGTCCGTCATCATCTCCTCCTGGGTATCTTCTCTTGTTATCTGGACATTCTGCTCTCATATGGGGTCCACCACACGAATAACAAGGTCCGCGTGGAGGTCCTGAAGGTCCAGATGAAGATCTCGATTGGGATCCCGATAGAGATGTCAAACCATTCAGATTGACGGCTTTCTTCTTCCGTTGCTTCGCCAGATCTGCCGTCTTTGATTTTTCCGCCTTCTTCTTTGCTTTGCGCTCCGCCTTTAAACGTTGTGTAGCTTCTGCGCGAGAAGTTTTGATGAGGTTGTTCATGGGATCGTCCGAGTCGCCATCAGCATCGTCTTCTGAACCGTCATTTTCGCTTTCATCGGAGTCGGAGGAATCCTCCAGTGTGGGGTCTTGTTGCTTCTAGCGCGATGGTCAACAAAAGTGAAAAACACATGAGAGCGGAGATAGATTAGGTACCTCGAGAACACGGTTGAACTTGCCAAAGCTCCGCCTTCCAACCATGATGGGTTTGTCTTGTGGCTCATCCTCCTCTGTTCTGATCTGGTGTGACGATATGCTGTCGAGGTTGGCATAGCCCGTCTGAACCACCCGTAATGCCATAGTAGGAGATGCGGCCTGAGGGCCGTCATCCTCAAAGCTTAACACCCATCTTGTATCACCAGCTTCAGCGGCCTGTCTTTCAAGTGCAACCTGCCGTATAGCTTCCTCCTCCGCGAGTGCTTTTTGTACAGCTCTTTGGTCCGCTAGAGCATCCACGCTGAAGGGCGAAGGGGACGCATCTCCATTCTTTTTGCGGCGCTTATTTGGAGGTTCGTCTGGCGTAGAGGGCGACGGGGAGGTGGGAGAGGCCGCCGCTCTTTGCATGAATTTCATGGTCAACAGGCGCGAGGACATGGCCTTCGGCACGCTGCCTGGCGTACTGGCGCTCGCCATGATGAGCCTTCAACTTGCACCTTGCAACATGCAGAACCGAGGGGTGCAAAGATAAATCAGGTCGCCAGTGTCAGTGTCCTGCGCATCATCTGTTGGAAGAGTTAGTCGTTAGTGGTTGGGAGTTGGGATCGAAAAGCGCAAAGTCTTTCATGGCCAAAGTTAAGTGGTATGTTTAAACCCTGAATGTGCCAGTGCTGGGCACGCTGGGATAGGCTCTCTCCGCTGGGCCTGGCCCCCTCAGTGTGGTTAGTCAGCGCCCAAGCTCCGGGTAAGGGTTGCCAGATTCCGCGACGACCATCGACAGTGACAATATCCAGCAATTGAACGATCAACACCATGCTCCCCACCGTCCGATCACGAGCCGTATGGCAATTGTCGAGGAGAGCCCAAGTCGCTGCTCGCAGAAGTTACGCCTTCTCTGCCAATGACAAGGAGGTGGTCAACGATCCAAAGCCCTCCAAGCAGGTCCCAAATATCTCCAAAACCAACGAGCTACCCACCGAGGCGCCACAATCTTCTACTGCGCTGCAGGAGAATGTAGAGGATGGGGAGAAGATGCGAGTATCGCAGGCGCCAAATAGAGCAGCTACCTGGTCCAAGAGCCAGAATCCTAGAGCCAAGGCAATGTCAGGACCAAGATTCGAACAAACGATTATGGCCGCCCAGGTATATCTCCAGAACGCGCAAGTGAGAATTGAGCTTTGCTAAAAGTTTCCAGCCTATGCCTCAAGCAGCCATTGGATTGATCCATCAGCAACCAGTCCACTGGACACACGACCGAATTGTATCGTGTAACGGAGGTGGGGGACCGTTGGGACACCCAAGAATCTTCATCAATACCGATAAGCCTCAAATCTGCATGTGCGAATATTGCGGGAACCCATTCGTAAGTATTCCTGTTTTGTAAAGCATATTGGATGGGAATGACAGCTATCGGCGGGGTTCTTGTATTCTTGACCATCACTCAACTAACTTCTTCCAGGCCAACGAGCACCACCGCCAATATCTCGAGTCACTCCCAGAAACCACATGTCCATTGCTCCCAAAAGGGGCAGAAGCAGAAGCACCCGAACCGCAACAGGTTACTGATGAAGTGCTTGCTCAGAGATAGAGCGGGAGATGTTAAATGGAGTTTCGGGGTTGACATTGTACATATACAAGAATTGATATTCACAAAGTTCCTAACTAGCAGAAGCGCGTTGAAGTTTTGTCGGGTGTCGTATGGCTATCTAGCCCTACTCGCTCCCTTGACCGGTCATGGGAATTGGATATTAACCTTCCCTTCTACGTTCCATGACGGCTATTTGGAGCTGGGATCGTCAATTGAGAGGCTCGTAGTTTGGGCATTTTAAGAACGAAATACGCACCTTCAAGCTCTGCCCTACAACTCCTTACTTCCAAATTATGTCTTTCCTCTGTTATTCTCATTTCTCAATTCTCCGGATAGTTCCACTACTCTAAGTTTCTTCACTCATAAACTCCCACCCTCACTAGTACAACTTCCAAAGAAGCCAAACAAAGCTTAATCATACAAACCTTTCTTCTCCAGCATCCTCTTTCCGACCAACCATCTAGAACAGCAATCATCACCAAGAAATCAATCACCCAGCTACTCGCTTAAGACCTATCACCCTATCCCCTTCCATTTTCTTCCCCAGTCCCCTCCAAAACGCACAACATCCTACCTGCATCACAGCCTTTCGATCATCCACCCATACACCAATACGGGAGTGACCACCGAACCCAAGACTGCTCCCCATCAATCGGGGCAGGCGCCTCTGCTCCGTGCTTCGGCTATGCACACGCCCATCCCCCTTCAAGGGGGCTTCAAGGAGTGTTTGAAAACATCACACCATCAGGTTTGAAGAGCGAGGGGCGAGATGGGATGGTGTAGACCTGGTAGGGGATGGGTTGGTATAGATTGAGTGGCGAGAGGACGTGAGGGGTTGGAATGTTGGTCTGTTTGTGTGAGGTGAGGCGGCAAAGAAAGAGGTATGGATGGGGTGGTTGGTGGTTGGCTTGGACCGTCTAATCTAACCTTGAAGGACGATCTGTCGCTCTTTGCCACGGTCTGCGCTTTTTTACGAAGTATTCAGAGGAGATCTTCTGGGTCTAGGGTTCTAGATTGGGCTGTGGAGTCTTGTTCTTGTGAACACGGTAAGTGGATTACCTAAAAGGGGAAGGGGTTAAGTCTGGACTCTGGGAGAACTAAATACTTGGAACCCTTCGAAAATTGAAACAGTGGTAGGCCAACAAATTCATTGTTTGATGTAGGCACTTAGTCATATGGTGGTTTCGTCGGGTTTCAAACTTCAACCATGTGCTTGCTACTATCTAATACCTGAAAATCAGATATATATTTCTCCTGTTCACGGTAATAATTCCAAAACCGCCCTATTCTAGCCTCAATGAAAAACCAAACGTAAACCCGCTGAACCACATAATATTCCATCTCTCTTCCTTGGTTGGCTATTAAGTCGACATAAACATCATAAAAGCATCGGGAAAGAACTCACACGATCTCGCTACTTCCTCTCATACTTCCTTGACGAAGTTTACGTAAACTAATAGATTATTATTATCGAATTTGAAATGACGGCTTCGAGCTAGTTCAAATTGGTTCAATGTACATTATTTTCAGCTAAACATCTGTGCGGGTATTATGATGACAGTCTTGGTCTAGTGGTATTCCAAGGGTACAGTCCTTGGATCTGGAAGTTACTTATTTTTTTGATCAGAGGACTTAGAGAATATATTTGGTCTTGAGATACTGAGACCAGGAGGTTGGAGCAGACCATCTGTTATATTATAAGTAGTAAGATCATGCGTGGGGGTCGGAGGCAAGAGAGGTGATATATAAAGTGATGTATATAAAGCTTTCTCCCCTACGTTAATCATGTTTGTACAACTAAGTTATCTATTATATGGCTCCTCCTCGAAACATGCAAAATTAAAGGTACTACTATAACTCTTATCCCTTATCTACACACACATATCAACCGATCTTTAATTTGCGATAATAGCAATTGAACAGATATCCCAGGGCAAAATATGCTTCTCGCTCTTATAATCTTATCCCCACTATTATCCTCACTCCTTTCTCAGCGAACGTCTGGCTGCTATTTGTTATCACCCTCTTTCTTTCCTATATTTTTATGATATCAAGTGGTAAACATTAATTCTCTAATCGATCGATAATATTATCAAGAAGATAGGCAACGTTACACTATCTCAAACGACTGCGGTACAAACCTAATGAATATAGGTAACTAAGGTAGACTTTGAGAATCTAGCTAACCACTCATGTTTTGTATAAATAGTACTTATAAGCTTAAAATGGAGGAGTACATTATAACAGACAAATAACAATCTTATCATCCACACCCTTACACTTATTCTCCTCAAAATAGTTACAGTAATAAAGTATCATCTAAACCCCTCTCCCAACCCCACCAACCATCACACCGGAACACAGAAAAATACAACCTCCACTCTCACTTTACACCATCCTCTCCCTTCGCAACACGCATCTCAAAAGCCGCTACAGGTCTGGTCTGTACAGTAAAACCTCCGCATAGTCCATCTCAAATCCTTTAAACCTCGGAAAATGGAAACAACTAATACCTCGTAGACTCATATTGTTGTTAGTGTTACGCAGATTACCTCAGCGAATGCTTAACCCCAATATTTGCATTGCGGTATATTACCTCTGCAGAATTGTGCTCGTGGGTGTCGAGTAGCTAGTTATAGATGTGGGTGGATGGCTGTTTGGGATTATGAATTATGGATTAAATGGTTTCGGTAGGTAAGGAAATGAAATGAAATGAGACAAGTTCGTTTTTCTTGGGTGGGTGTGATTGAAGATTCTTCTACTACTACAGCAGCCTTTTGGCCCTTTTCTGAAAATTTGATAAGAGAGAGAAGAATTGGGAAGTGAGGTGTTCCACTCTGACTTGTTATAACCCTGAATGGATGTATGTAGAGCATGTATGTAAGTATGTACCAGTGCTACGAATACAGCCTTGAGCAGCAAGTAAACGCTTCTAATCAATACATTCAACGCCATCTATTCTCGCGCACATGGCAATTATCCAAGTTACAGAACAAGTTCTACCACTCCGTTCTAGCATCTCCTTAATCTGCTTGAGTAATCAAAACTCACCGTATTATAAACACGGCTCAAATTGTCATTCCTCGCGCCAGTCATAATCCAATTGGGAACGAAACCCAGGTTTCTCTATGCGCTAATTCAGAACGCAATGGTAATGGTACAGTACTTCAACAATATCCAGAAATAAAAGTCCAGCATTCCCGAAAAGGAAGAGCACATCCACATCCACAAGTCCAAAACAAATGCAGACCCCAAACTCGGAGTCTCCATGAACTATGGCCGACATCCTGTAACACAACATATACGATATCTCTTAAAATGAATGTAAGTACAGTACGGTTTCAGCTCTTACGCGGCGGCTGCGCAAGCAACACCAAGGAGGTGTAGGGTGCCATTCTATTACCATCTTATATTATCTATAGAAAAAGATGAAACAATTCACAGCCTACCTTAGGTAGCTGAGTGAACACTATATGTTTGCGTGTTTTTTTGGGGTGGTAATCAATCGTAAACAAGATGATGGGACTATTATATGTACAGGGACTCACAAACGCTTACAGTCTGTCAAGCAGAGGTTCGTGGTATGGTGGGTAGGTATTAAAAGCCTGGAATGGATTGAGAGTTTACGTTTGGATTTTTGGGATTCTGCGGATGTAGGGGATGGTGAGATGGAATATAAGCATAATAAACAAAGTTTAGAATAAGAGTCTTATAGCTGATGACAGGGGGAGTTGTAGTATGCGTTATATAAGAAACATAAGAATCAGATCAGACGCATCAAGAAGCCCCATAAATCTGAAACCTTCTACAGAGTACCCTTCTCTCCTCCCCCTTTCCTCCCTGTGAAAGTCCTTGGTTCGCGCTAAAATCAAGAACGCCTCGTAAGGCTGATTTTCGACTCTCTCGGGGTCCCGGTGTATCTTTGTAAACATTTACGTACAACCCGTGCCCTCCCATGATCGCAGGACTTGCCGGATGACATAATGTGCATGGCGGAAATAGACGGGAAACTAGTGGAACTCGTCATGTGCTTGTCATTTTGTGAGACAGGGAGATAGGGTGGGAAGGGAAGGTAAGTTCGAGTCATAATTCCAGGCAGATACTTCGTGTGGTGATTTTGACAAGTTCTAGTTCGTGGAGAGAGTGAGGGTGAAATTACCTGAGAAGGGTGTAGGATTGGGTTTACGCAAATGGCGGACATAGACGCGCAAGCAGAGAAGGTATTTTTGTAGGCACCTGGGTTTCGGGATATATATCGAGAGCTGATGGTTTGAAATTTAAAAGCGGCGGTTTGTGGTTTGTCGTGTTCAAGGATGGGATGAACCATGCCTTGCACCGAGATTCCTGAATAAGCCGCTTCATCATATTCTGGGGAGATGCAGGACTCATGGAGTCAATTCCCCAATCGGTGATATTGGTATATTACCTTGGAGCTTTACTGGGGAGTTGATCTTCTTACTTTCGGGAGCTACCCGTAGTAAAGAGGCTTGTTCTGTCAAGTGTGGTTAGTGGCGGAGCAGCTGTTCCTCTCCTGGCGGCCGGGGAGCTCTCGAAGCTCCAAAGAGAAGCTCGGTGTGATTCGTGTGCCAGGGGATTGGTGTTTTGGCTTGATCGTGTGGTAAAGTGGTGGGGAGGGATGACTATTGAGGCTGTGTCCACCTTTGGAAATCAAAGATCTTACTGCTTCACTACGGAATACTCCATAGATAACGGAAACAACCACTGAACAGTGATGTAGGTAAGCAATCATGCAATTGTCAACATGGCATTTTCCGTAAGGGGGTGAAACAGCCACTGAAATGTAACCCATCTGTGGTAAACCCGAATAATCTTGGATGTTTGGTTTCTGTTGGTGTTGGTGTTTTAAGGTTGTCCTGCTCGCGTGGTGTGCGCTTAGGAGGATCAAAAAATCACCGATTTGATCATACAATTTACCAATATGGACAAGACGCAGGAGGATGAACCGTTCCCCAGATCTGGTCCTCGGTCATGGTCGTCATGTCGTCAGGTCGTCGCGTCCGGCCACTCACTTGACCTGAATGTCAGACAAACCCTTCATCAGCCATTGTCGATAGGCTGGTGGCTTTGCGAATTGGGACGCCGGGTCTGGTGGAACTTGCCATTGCTAAAATAGTACTCGTACGAAACCATTTCCCACGTGAGCATGAAGATGTTGGTTCTGCCCATGATGCGTTACTGGAGTCCCGAATAATAGAGACGAAGGGGTAAATGTATGAGTTCGCGCCGAGTTGCCATGTTGATGTTGAAGGCGGCGGCCATGAGAGAAGCCTTCTAGCGCTACTTGATAGAAGCTAGACGCTATTTTGGTACTGTGCGGTACAGTAGCCGAAGAGGCCCCAGCCAGCCGAATTTAGATTTACTCGGAAACCACCCAACATCAACACCAAGCCTTCATCCTCCCATGAGCATCACCAAACACATTACTTCATACTCTGCCATGGAGTCCTTTTCATGGGTGGCAGAGACCATCGTCAGACATACGACAACAGAAGCCAGTCCTGCCAAGCGCGCAAGAACCGCAAACTGGATGAAATGGGAAAAGGTTCAGATACAGATCCGTAGGCCATGCACTGTGCCTTTTGCGTGCAGTTCTCACAGAGCAACGCCCCCTGTGACTGGTTCTCATCAGCTCAGCCTCTAGGCTGTGATGGTTGACTGTGGGTGTGGCGTCAGACTAGACTCGAAGAGGTCATCGAGATAATTGATTCTCACTCGTCGGAGGATTGTGATGCTTCAATCCTCCCCCTCTGTCCCCCTCCGGATCATCGGTAAGGATCAGGGGTGGCATCGCGGCGGCGGGTATGTCCTGTGCGGCCATGGCGGCACCAGGTATGGCAGGGCCAGCATGGGAATTCAAACTCCACCCAGGTCGATGGTCCACAACTCCAAGCCCCCAATCCCCACTACTTGACCGCAACCCCGGCCTACACAGCTTACAGTCATACGCCGCACCCTGTCACTCACTAACATTCTAGGCAGACAGTCTGCATGAGGAGAGACATTGACCATACGCTTGAAAATATTATATATCAGGCATCCCCACAACCTCTAATTCTCCTTTCTCTCCTATCAACTTTCCCATCTACATCCATCTCAACTCCTGTTTGTAGGCAGATACATTCAGCTGTCCTCGAACCTCCACTCCATTACCCGTACTTTAAGGTTACAGTCCTAGGTACACAAACCATATCACTGGAGCAACAAGCGCATAGCATCGCCTCCAGTACTTCAACAACAAGTACAGCTCCCTCCCTTCGAAATTTATAAGAACCAATACATATTCTCCACATGTCCCCTTCATGTCTTTCGCGCACCGAATAGACATAAGAGTTCCATCAAATATCTATCCTGAACCCGGCGACTGACAATAATTTCCTTGGGAAGACTTCATATTAAGAGGACTCACCCCCCACCACAGTTTACACACATTCCCACCCACTTCGAACTCATATTTCGAAGCACACACTCATAAACATCGAGCATCCCTTGATCACCGTCAAGATCAAGAACGGCAACATTAGATCCGCCACTCAAAGGCGCATTTACATTTCCACCGGCACAATGTGTGTCACACACATCTACACGGACCGTTTCCCAGACGGCCACACTAAATACTTCCGCCAGACGCGAAACTGTCAGTTTGGAAGTCCATCTCGTCCCTGCCCCACTGCTAGTACAACAGAAGAGGCAACACGAAATCTCAACTGGGGCGAGCTCACAGCCGAGCAAATCTTGAATACACCTCAACTTCAACGACCCTTCACACCTCCTCGCTCCCCAGTTTCATCTCATCACAGACATTCATCTTCTGAATCAAATGGCCATCGACGAAGACATAGCAAACATCTTTCACCTCTTCGTCCAACTCGTCAACACCGCAAGACAGAGAGAATTGTCATTGTTGACTCACTTCTAACTCCTCGTACACCACCTCAACACTACAACCATACATTCACCGCTCCCTCTTCACCAATCGCACCACCATTCCGCTCTCACGAGCGTGAACGTGGAAGACCTGTGATTGTCGACGAGCGTCCGTTCCGTCGAAATCCATCAGTGGGAGCCGTGGTTGGAGACCGCTTGACTCCAAGAAACTCGCGCGAATACTCTCGCAGCCGACACGTCACATGGGATTCTCCATCAAACTCTCACACATACTTCAACTCCCGTCTCCGCCGAGAAGAAGAAGAAACCAAACGCCTCCTTGAGAAACGAGAACAGGATCGACAAATCCAACGAGACATCGAGGTGAAAAAGCTCGAGAAAGAAAAGGATCTCGAAGATCGTCGTCGTCGGAAGGAAGAATTCTTCCGACGTCAGGACGAGGAAATTCGAAGCAGACCAGCTGTTCCGCTTACTGCTCCAATGCCACCGCCATTACGACGACAGCAAACCCAACTTTCTCATCGTGTCCCGGCTGTCACTGTTGTGGAACAGGATGACGCGTTGCCTCTTATGATGGGTGGACTTGCCATCCGGGAAGATCGCAGCTCGAAGAGGAGAGAGCAGGAAAGCGAGGAGGCGATGAAGCGGAGACTAAGAGAGAGACAGCTTCTGAAGAGACGGGCTAGTGTAGGGCCTGGGCATCGACGACACAGGGTTGCCTACGACGACGGTCTATACAGATGGGAATAAATCCCCACCAAAAAAAAAAATTGCTTCGATTCGATTTGATTTGGCTTGTTACTTTTTATGTTTTATATGAACACTCGCGTGTTTTGTTGTCATTAATACCCTGTTCGTCATATTGCCATTTTGTTTTTGTTGGGCTTGGAGGATTTTAAGGGGCTTAGCGAGTTTTGCTTTTGCCTGCCTTGCTACCATTACGTTATCTTGAAGTTTTTGAATGCTTCACGTCTTTAAATGGGGAGAAACAGAGCAAAAAACCCATTCGAGCTTTGAGTTAGTTAGATATACCACGTTTGCGAAAGGAATCTATTATTTTTTCCCGCGAAGATCTTTGCCTTCCTCTTGATTCAATAAAGGGAACCTGACTTTTTCCTCATGTGATCTTTGTTTCAGCTCCTCTCCTCTACCCTAGGTGTTGACCTTCGCTTTAAACTTTGTAGTAAGACCCCTCCCGCCTTTCTTTTTTTACCATGAGTCGTTGGTGTCAGGTGACGTTTCCGAGAAATGTCTCAGATTAGATACCTTGGGTTCCATTGATTATGATGTGATGTTCTGGATGTGGGGAAACCCTTGATCAGCTGAGTGAATGGATGGTTGGACACGTACGTAGCCTGGTAGCGTATACCAAACTTTAATTCCTGAATACCTGGAGGAGGCTGGGATTGTGATTGGACTGGATTGGACTTGGGTAGTTTGTTGTATGGCCATGGGTTTGTGGTAGATCTGTTGGGGGAGGATGGGAGGAGAGGTGATGTCATGGGGTGAAATAAGAAGTTTGAGGTGCGAGGGGAGATGGGAGTTAGACGGGCTTTTGTTTTGGGGGTTTTTGAAGTTGTGGTGTGTTTGTTTGTATTGATGGGTTGGTTTATTAGGGCCGTTCGCCCTCGCTGTGATTCTTTCACTAGATGCGATATCGGAGGAACCAAGGTAGCAGATCATATAACACCAGTACCCACCACACATACATAAAAAATCTGTATCAGATAACAAGGTACGGTACCTCCCCTATGTCTTTTCTCTTTGAAATACTGGCTGTTTCTCGCCTCCTTCCTCATTTAGATTAGCGCATTCAGTAGTACTATTAGCTGTTCTGTGGGCCTACTTATGCTAAGCTTGTACCCACTCTCTTACTTGCATTATGTCCCTGGTATGGTTTACCTGGTGGCGAAAGTAGATCTGATCTTGATGTGTGTAATATTACCTACTGTAAGTGCACAGTTCATAACTCGACATGCACGTCTATGGCGTAGTCTACGTCGATTATGTTATACCTTCAGTGGACACAGGGGAAATCAGGCACCGAGCACGGATCTAGGCAGACTCACTGAAATTTAAGTACTAGGTAGACAGGAGACAGTGATATCGATTGTATTCCGGGCCTGTGCTGGGGTTACTGTATTTGGATGTCGAGGTGAAACTAGGTGACGTTAATGAAATGGGGCGGTATACCGGTGAGGGGTAAGTTAGGCAGGCAATGGGTGGGAAGAGAAGGGTTTCGTTACGGATACTTGAACTGGACGTTGGATGATAGGGGTACTCGGTGGAGGGAGGTATGTACTGGTATCGGGATTGGAGTATCAGTGTTGGTGGTGGGTGTATGCAGCAGCAAGTTATTTTTAATTTGCGGTTTCTTTTTCCAGGGACGAGGTATAAAAAGAGATGTATTTTTGAGGACGGAAAGGCGTGTAGGTGTGTGCCTTGGTAAGTTTGTGTGTCTAATCTTATCTGCTAGGGCATTTTTCATTCTTGTGAAGAATTTGATTCGGAAGGCGTTTCTATGTTATAGGCTTTGATATTTTACCTTTCTGACTTTGGTAATGAGATTCGCTTGTATATTGTAATTATAGCAATGTATCCCGGGGCTGAGAATTTATCTTCATTATGATGAGAGATACATTCGAAAATAGATTTGTTGTATTCACGAGTAATGAGTTGTGATCGTCCGCGAACTGGTTATAAAACTACAAGGCTTCTATCCCCAAAGGTTCTAGGGTAGGAGAAAGATCGCTTGCGCTTAGGAGAAATGGTAACGAGTACCGAAAACGAGTTTTAGCCAGGGGTGGTGGAACTTAAGCGAGTGGCAATATTTATTGTTGGCCCAAGCGCACTGGATTCAAGCGAGACTCAGGTATGTGAATAATATTTGATTGCGCTACTTTATATTCATAGGTATTAGACCTAAAAGTACTAAGCGGAAGTCGCTATGGGTGATGTTGTCTTGCCTACCCTGCTATTGCCATGCCTTCTCGTTTTTATCTTCTGTCCATCTTACGAGTACTCGAAAAGAGATATAAGCTGTGAAGAGGGAGGTAGGTTATAAAGGAGAGCAACATCACCCATAAAGAATGAGAAGAAAATTACAGGAGAGGCATAGAGTTGTCAATAGGATGCTACTCGGATTTAAATATTCGACAATACCGAAAAAACATAATCACTCAACTTTCCAAAGACTCATTTGGGCCATGGTTTTGAAGACACTTTCCAACAGATACAAAGACTTACGCGCTCTCATGGTAATTAAATTCCGGTATTGTTGTAGCGCTTCAGAGCTTCGATGTTCCTAGTATCAGGAGGTAGCAGCATTCGTGGCGTACCCTCCGGTAGTAAATTTCCTTTCTTCCCTCTACAACACTTATGAAGTATCAGACACCAGAAGGACAGAGAGATCTCAACCACCAAAAAGAATCGTTCTCGTGACATATTGCGATTGTACAAAACGCCCGCTTTGTGCTTCTGGGAGAACAAGGGGTGTGTTTTCTTTGGGAACGATAGTCATTGTCCACCAGAGCAGCAACTCCTGTCGGGGTGAAATAGATAGCGTTCTAGTCCCCACGATATCCACGTCAAGTAATGTCTCATATGTACAACTCAACGTCATGCGGTGAACACGCGAGGATCAACAGAGTTACATCCGCTAGCTAGTTAAACCCGGTTACTGATATTTTGGTACCACACAGTCGTTAAGCGAGGGACTACGACTTTGAGTTTCAAGAATAAGTCGCTCTTTATGGACTCAAAGAAGAATGATGAGAGCAGCTGTATGATTATCGTATGCGGTCTAGTCCAAAACAATTGCATGTTATACTCACATGCCAGTGGGGCACATTTCCATGCTGGAAATGAAAGATTTCAGCCGAATATGTGTCCCAAACGTTGTGGCTGGAAATTTTGTACTACATGCCGCGTGTTCCTTGTAGCAGCAAAACGTTGTACTCATTTCTACCACCCACAGCTTCCAATTTAGGTTGATCATTTACGCCTCATATTTCTGCGGCACTAAGAAAATCCAGGTTTAACCATAGTCTAAGCGCATTTATAAGAACGGGGATATGGGGCTTTTATTTCTCACGCGCACTGTTATCATTCTCTTTATTACAAAGCATTATCGTTAAATCGCAGCATTTCACTGTTGATTGTCACTAAGTTTGGGTTCGAAGACCATTTTTGAGCTTAGACTTCCTAAGAAGTGGGTTCTTACACGAACTGTTGGCCATTTGAGGATCGCAGTAATATCTTCTCCCTATCTTAATTCCTAAGAGAAGCAAGATTTGGATTTCCAAATCCTTAATCAACTTAATACTAATGAGTGTTCCGACTAAACTTTACCACTGCCGATCATTCCTGGTATATTTTATATCGTTTTATAAATTTTTGACACTCACTGATTCAGACTACTCATATTTTAAGACGAGAAAGGGTAATTATTCAAGTAAAGAGCCACCGCTATGACAAGATCAACACTTGATCATGGTAGATTAGTTACCTGGGTACGTAAATCGGCCATCACTCTCTGCTGTTCTGACGCATATGCTTAAGATCAATTGCAACAACTATTTACTGGAGGTTTTTCTTGTGTGAATTAGCATCTCCTACTCGAGTATTATGAGGGTTTCTTGTTCTACCAAGTAGACTGTTTAGAGTGATAACGTAAATATGAGGGAGACCTATGTATGATGTATCGTCTACTATTGCACCGTACGGTATCCAAAACAACATAGAAAACATAGGCTAATTGACCAAAAATGGAAAAAGTCAAGTAACTTCTGGAGGCATATTTGAAGTTCTCATATAATATTACTAGTAGAGGGTCAGCCAATGACGTTAGGTTGTACACTTGTACCTGAAGCAAGTATTGCCGATGTTTGTCCGACATTTGCCCCACTAGCTTAGTTTGCAGGCACAGGTGGATCAGATCCATAGATGGTGAAGCTGTAAATGCCGTTCCGTACAAAACTGGGACATCTGGGTATTTTTATCCCTACCGCTCATACTGTATTCTCTATCCGATATTGCTCCTCCTCTGCCAATTCATGATACGGAAGTCTATGGACCATTCTCCGTGCCAACAACACCCTAAGCATGAGATAAAGCCAATGCCAGTAGTCAAGTCACGATGGCCTCCGCAAATAACGTCATGGCAGAAACCACGCCTCTGATCCAAAATAGATCTTCCAACTCCACGACCTCGCCGGAAACCCAGAAAAGAACTGGCAGAAATGTCACGTTCAGTCCGAACCCCTCTGTTATATCAATAGGACCAAATCCAAACCCCGGCTTGCCTCCGGGCCAGGGCCAAAATGTAGCTTCAGTAGCTTCAGGAAATACTCCACCTACCTTCCAGCAACCGATGCTCTCCAGCCTCAACAGCAAACTTCGCCGCCGAAATAGCCACGGCTCTCCCCTCATAAATTTGCCTACTGTACCCATTTCGAAAATTGGCCCACAGCGAACCACCAAAAACGCTCAAAAGCTCAAGCTGCTCCCAAATCCCGAGATTGGTGAAGACGGACCCGACGAAGAAAGCGGTCGAGATGTCTATTCGCAGTATACCCGAATAAAGGATCCTACCGCCCGGCGCGATGCTGCCAGATTAGGCAAGGCAGATAGGGATAGACTCCCCAGAGTCACGGCTTATTGCACAGCCAATAAATACCAAATGGACGGATTGATGCGTTTTCTCAAGGGCAGGGGCAAAACCAAGCATGCGGCTCCAAAATTATTCGACGAATGCATATACACACCCTACAACTACGGCCGGGCAACTCCTGATCGAGCTCAGGAGGTACAGTCTATGCCAGTACAATTAAGAGAGAGGAGGCATTCGGATAGCGCCGTTGAGGTTCTGGACAACAATCAACAACGACGAGAAGATCTCATTGATTTGCACACCGAAGGCGGAGATACCAGCGTAGTCAATGGAGATATTGATATCCGCAATCATCCGCACTCGGAGCTTGTGGAGCGGCGGATGGAGGAAGAGGTAATACATGCGGAAAGCAATGTCGACTTCGATATCCAAGTACACACGCCAGAAGTTTTTCTTTTTGACTATGGTGTGGTGGTAATATGGGGTATGTCGGTGAAGGAAGAGCAACGGTTTCTCAAGGAAATTGCGAAATTTGAGAGCGAAAAGCTTGCTCCAGATGACGTGGAGACCGAGTCCTTCAACTTTTACTACACCAAAGAATATCAAGCGCGGATATACAACGATTTTATAACATTGCGAGAGAAAACCAATTACATGACGAAATTGGCAATTTCTCATGCTCTTGCCCAGAGTGTCAAGGTATGTCATTTTTCAAAAGTCTGCTCCTGGCAAAATAACTTGAGCTTGCCTCTGGCGCTCAGTTTATCCTAACTTTTGATTGCAGACTTCACTATTTGAGGCACTTGTGGACGATACCATAACAACTTGCAAGGACATACCAACTCAAATCGCTCTCACCGGTGCCATCTCTCTATCACGAACGCAGATTAACATGCAAATTGGCGAATTATTTATTCTAAGAATAAATATCCATCTAAATGGTTCTGTGCTTGATGCCCCAGAGCTATTCTGGGTAGAGCCTCAATTAGAACCCGTCTACCAGGCTGTCAGGAGTTACTTGGAGATGGATCAGAGAGTCAGACTATTAACAGAAAGACTAGATGTCATTGCGGATTTGCTGGCTGTATTAAAGGACCAATTATCTCATGGTCACGGGGAAAAGTTGGAGTGGATTGGTATGTTTTCCCTGTCTGCATCCATTCGCCTACCCACGAAACTAATTCAAATCAACAGTAATTGTTCTCATCGCTGCTGAGATCCTCGTGGCAGTAGTAAACATATGCGTCGATATTGTTGTTGGGGGAGATTGAAGAGCCATTAATGAAAGAAGTGTACAACATAATTTTCTGACGCGGTGTACAAATTCAGCATAGCGTTTTTGGGATATGGCTATTAGACTAGCTCCTGGGTAATTTTCGGAGGAGTAAAGAGAGTAGTAGATGAGCGCCTTGTAAATTGTATATGCCCTGCTACCTTGTACATAATACGCAGCTTCATGAGATATTTCGAACTAGTGGGGTTGAAAATTGACGATGATGTTGGTGGGTCTGGAGGTGAGGACGAATCTCATTGTATCACTTTTCTTGTAGGGCTAGTATGTACCTTTTTGCTAATCGTTGAATCTTCTGGATAAAGTGAATTCTGCCTTTTTTTCTAATTTGTGTTCAAACGTTGTCTGATAGATGTTGGTTCCTTGTGATTTTACTGATCCCCATGGATCTTGAACTTCCTGTTCGCCCCAATTCTTCTCTTGAGGTCACTCCTTCCGCCACTCTCTCGACTTGATGTCGAACATGTTACGAAAGTATAACAAGTATTGGATCTTTGGAGGTTGTGATCCAAGATTGGTGGAATCGAAGTTGAATATTTGAGGGATCGGTATATATAAATCCCTGTTGGAGCACGAGTCCATACACGTGTACTCCCAGGAGGATATAAACAGTAACCAAGTTAGTACAAAACGTATAAGTTATATATATACATGAGTTAGTAATTAGTTGAAAAGCCACTTTCCAGAAAGAGATATGCTCATACACTGGAAACAGTGAAAAGCTGGGAGGGGCCATTGTGGAGCAAAAGTTAGAGTTCTCTCCGCTTCCTGGATCTTGCTTTGAGATAAATTCTTCATCGTCGTTATAGATACTCTTGGATGTGGTGTATCCACTCAGGTGTAGAAGTACTAAAATTACGATACCCTCTAAGCGATTGCTACCCGCTTCCAATATAATACACAATCAGCGTGAGAACGAATTAATCACTTAATCAATTAGTAATCAACTAAATCATGATTAAATAGATTAACTTAGATTAGGACCTTCGAGTGATTAAATAGGTTAAGTAGCGTTTATTTAATTATATTAATTAAAATAATAGTATATATTCTAAAGTACTACTAATATACTTAGAGAACCTTTTAAAAGGCAAATAAATAGAGAAAACAAGAGTAAAGATATAATAGGTAATATAATAACTAAGGACAAGGAACGTTCCTATAGACAAGATGTTATAACTAGTATAGAGGATTATGTACGATCATGTGACTCACCTCTAATCCTACTTATATAGTAAAGTTTTCTCGTCTAATTCTAGGCTTCTTAGAGCGTTTTTGACCTAATTTGGCTGTCTACTCTGTCCTTTATCGTATATAATATAGGGGCTCTCGCTTAGCTAGCACGTGGTCCGCCGAGCACCCTCCGAGCCCTCGGTCCACCGGTCGGAGGGCTCGGCCCGTATTAATTAATTTAATTAGATTATATAATTAATTAAGTAATTAATTAAGATTAGGAGGTCTAGTTGATTAGAATAACTTAGATTAAGAGCTCGTTAGTTAGTCTATTCTAATCATTTCTCACGCTGTACACAATGCTGAAAATACTTGTACCTTGAAAACCCATGTTTGTATTCTAGAAAAATAAAAGCCAAGAAGGAGGGGAGAGAGGGTGGGGGCAGATTGGAACCATATCTTATGAATTTAACTTATAAAAGTTTTGTAGGTGATCTCACACGAACATAGTTGTCTTCTAGACTTAAAGGATTACCACATGGGAAACTACCAAGGTCAGAGCTCTGGTATACCATACTACTTAGCTTTTAGTTGGTACTTTCGCTGCGATTCCGCAGTTGTAGAATGAATGGAGTAGTGCGTACTGCGATTTCGTACACGCATCAATATGACTGTTGTGATTACTCTCATGTGGTTATCGATATTTGAACTAGCCTTCTTATTTTGTTTGTATTCACAAGTGGCTGCTATACCATTTTGAGGCAATAGTACCCACTCGGATGGAATTCTAAGAGTGGTTTTCCTGTTTTGAAGTCACGTTTTATCTCATTTATAATACCACCATTATGGTGACCTACCCAAATAGACCATTAGTGATAATATGAAAACAAAGGTACAAATACCGCTTTGTTCATATCTGCTGAAAGAATTGATGCTCTAAAGGGCAGATTCTCTGAAAGAAGTAGTCAACGTCAACGAAACCCATTATTTTGAAGCGTATCAACAAAGATATTGTTACTACTGTTGCGTCTATGTTCTTTCTTAAACAAGTTCATCTTTGAATTTCAAAGATTGAATAGGGTTGAACAATGTTAAACAGTGCACTACAGTGTCTATATAACTGACTGTCTTGTACTTATTCTACCATCAAAAACAAACTCACTTACACTATCAACTCATTCTATTATCAAAAACAAACTCATCTTACACCAACCATACATACTCTATACACGAAAGTTAAAACCACACAAGATGTGCCGACAATACAAAGTAAACTGGGCTTGTGGCTGCCAACCTGCCGAAAGTTCTGTGATTTTCTTCTGTCCAGCCTCAAACTTCATTGGCCAGTCATGGGCAGACCCCATTGCAACGCTGGTATGGAACACAACAGCAGAATATGAAGTAACAGCTCTCCCTGATATTGCCTGTTTTGGCGAAACTTATAATTCTCCTATCTGCCTGGACTTCAATCGCAGTTGCAAGAAGTGCGCCCTCCCCTCAGGTACCAACGACGAGGTGGAAATCTTCACCTCTGAGTTAGAGAAACCTGACAGATTCTCCAGCTTTATATTGGATGAAGAGTACCGCACTTTGTTTGCACAGCATACCAATTTCTTTTACCCAGATGAGGAACTGCGTCATAAGCCTTAGCTACCAGTATTTGAGGAAGTGGGCAGATCTATCTCCAGAGGATCTAGAATGCGTTGTTTCTCGCACCAATAAGCTTGAGACCTTGTTACGGAAAGTTGAGGTTTGCGTGAAAGTCAGTGCAGCGAGAGAAAAGGAAATGCTGAGAGCAGAGCGTATCCACCGAAACGCGCACTTCCGAGCGATTTCCACCAACATACAGAGATGGCTTGAATGGCTCAAATGGGTAGAGCTTTCTGCGATGATTCTTACCAAAGATGGTGAGTTATTCCCTAATAAACCCAACCAAAAGCCCAACCCTAAGCTTTTAACTGAAGTTCCCTTGGAGGAGCTTGACCAAGAGGATCTTGAGTGTGCTGTCTGCTCTGTTACTTTCGGACAGGAGGGTGAAGATCACATTGTTGAGACATGTGTGGAGACACCATGCCATCACAAATTTGGCTCTTCATGTGCTCGCAGATGGTTTGTCCTAGATGGACACCCTAGCTACCCCCTCTGTCGAAAACGTCTTCCAAGTGAGTTGTTTGAGTATCCAGACCACCAGCAGCGACAGGATAACCCTCATCTGATCAGATGGGTTTACCATCTTCAGGCCCCGCTTGCCAATCCTGTAGAAGGCTCTGAAGATGAGCTGGCTCTCATTCGTGCAGAGTAGAGAACCATATCATCTGAGTACGAACACATACACAGAGAGTACCGCGACATCATTAGACAACACCCAGGCAACCACAAGGGCATCATGAGGCAAAACATGCACGATGATTTAGGTGACGATTTCGATTCTGACGATGGTCATTCTGACGATAGTAATTGGTCCGATGATGGCGGTGACGAGTACTATACAGATGACAGTCAGTAGTTAGTAGCCTTACCGCCTGCCTCTTTCATTATTGGTCGTGCTGAACTACCCAGAATACTCAGAAATATCCTCAGTCCTAAAAGTACTCGCAAATTCACAATGCCGTTCCTGGTTTTATTATTACTAAAACATTCCCTTAAATAAGTCCCAATTAGATCAATTCTTCTCTTTAATGGTGGTGTAGCATTAAAAAAAAAAAATCTTTATGAACATTCAAGCATTATGAAAGTGATAGCAAGTGTTCACCAGTCATGGTAAACTCTAGAATGGTACTAAACTTGATGTGTCCCTATAACCAACAGTTCAATGGCTTGGATTATCCAACCCAATACCGAATATATAGTAGCTTCCTTGATTTCTCAAATTTACTACATAGTGTTCAAGTAGAAAAATTTGATACTCCTAAGAGTCGACGTAAAGCGAGCCCCCTTGACTTTGGCTTGATCCCTCCTCTCCCCCTCGCTAAACAAATTCAGGTTTCAAACGTCTTTCTTACAATCTACTTGAATCATTTGTTGTCTTACGTGTCATGTGCGCTTAGCACAAAATTGAATCTCTTGTGACTCTCTTCTGAATGCGGTTTTCTCGCTCTTAGTTTGTACTTTTTGAGCCGCTTGCTTTATTTGCTATTTGCTCTTTTTAAGATTTGCTTTTGCCAATCATAAAGGTCCACGTGCTGTGATGAACATTTATAAAAGTACACTTGCTCCTCTGCTCTTGAAGTCAAGCCATTCTTTATTTCTTATCTGTGATCGTAAGTATTCTAGTGGTTATTTCACAAATGTAGTAGGAGGTTTGCGGTATACTGCACACCCTGTGAAAACTATTAATTTAGATTTCTTGACTTATCCAATATGAATGAAGTTGGACATGTCTTAATGCATTCCTCTCTTGTTGTATATATGATTCACTAAAATCTGGTTCTCTTGTCAGAGGAAGCTGCTATTAGCAAGGACTGGCCAGGGTCTAGGGTTTGTGAGTTTCTCTAATACTTGCTCGTCCCGATTGATTCCGACCCCCGCAGAAACCCTTCTGAATTTCCCTCAGGTTCTGCAACAGACATCCTTCCAACATAATCCGTAAATCGCTTCTGTGGATATTTACTGTTCTACAGCATATTGCTTTATGCTGGTCCTCAAAACAGCACAGTTGAGATTTTGATTTGCAAACACACACCAGAAAACCCTCCGCAAACAGCCATTACGCGTCTCCGATCAACAACCGATTCACGCTGTGCAACTTACACTTGAAATTTTGGCTCTATATTCCACGCGCCCGTATGATCTCTTTAACCTTCTGCTTCATGTTTTCTTAAGCTAACTTCATTAAAAGCACCTTTCCAAATCACAACATCAATATGCAGGCCTTGGATAACCGAGAAAGAGGTCCAGGCAAAACTCATATCTACGCAGAGGAGTATAAGAGAAAGTTGAAAAATTGCTTCCAACCTCCTTGTATCTGCGTGCCTTGTCAGCAACATTTTTACGCCCCGATTCAACAAATACAATCAGCAGAATGCTACTCTTTCGCCAGAAAAAATCCGTTGGCGAAGCGAAGGACAAAGTATGGGGATTGGTTGAGCAAGCGAAAGAAGACCAAGAGTTTCTGCGAGAGCAGATTGAACGGAGTGGCGATGCGATTATGAGCAGATTGAATAAGAAGAACCACCACCAGAGACAATTATTGCTGCTTACGGGAGACAAGGATATCTGCAAAAATAGGTGGTTCACACCTAGACAATTTTTATCCGAACCACCCCTGAAGGAAGCTCGGAAGCAGAGAAATAAGTGGCTAGTCCCTTACCTGAGCCTCGAGGTCTTGATGAAGGATCGTTCTATTTTTCTCAATTTCTTGTACAATCGAGTATTTCACTCTTTCCAAGACTGGGCCAGATTCGACAATCAATACAACAGTTGAAATACGGCTGGGAGCATGGATTTTTCGCGGTCGAATTCTGCGAAATTTGTGTCAAGATGTTCGACCCGAATTACGGACAATTGACTGCCTGGGAGTCTGATTCTGCACACAGATCAGATATTCTCGGATATCCTCGAGGCTCAATGTTGCTTGAAGCACAGGCATATATCATGAGGTTTCTCCGGAACATAGTAGGCGAAATTTTCAAAGTTGCCCCTACTTCAAACCAGCAATCGTCAACAAAGTGGAAGGAGATGGCCCAGGTGGGCTTCAAGGAGAACGGGGAAAACGCAGGATACTGGTTTTGTTATTCTCATCAACCGTTTTTGAGTCCACCCACGTTTAATATGGAAGTATTGCTGGGGAATATAAAAGCAAGACTCGATGAAACCGGTGATCACATTTGGCTACTTCAAACCGACGCCAATTATCTCTGGAATCACTTGCGGGAACTGAGAGAGTGTCAAGTCATTGAGGATGCCACAGACTCTGATAAACAACTAGCATTTGAATTGGTTGTTGGAGAAGTAATTTATGATCTCCATGTCCATTGGTTCTGGACAAGATTGCACGCGAAGATGCAACCGACCAAGGAGCTATACGCTCGTTTCCGGGACAACATTAACATTGGCGAGGCACTACCACCGATGTACGATGTAGGGTTAGGGGACATTGAAAGACTTCTACTGGACACAATACATGTCCGCTCTCTGCACCTTGGGGCCATCATTCCTCAGAGGCCTGGCTTGAGAAATGCGTGGAACATCACGAAGGTTTGCGAGGGCGTTTGGTCTGCTCAGTGGAAAGAGCCAGATATGAAAAGGGGTTTTAAGAAAGATCCTCTCGATTGGTGCTTACAGAGGCTGCAAGAAGATCCGGATGTTCCAAATAACTTGGAATACGAAATGCTTTTCGAATTTCTAGATGACCACCTACAGACAACCAACCGGGATGACCGAGCTAGATTGGATAGGTTAATATACGAAAAGCTGTCCGATTTAGCAGCACTCCAAGAGTGTCTCGTGGCAATTCGCCTTCACCGACGAAGAAGCGTGAGCGTACGAGCAGAAGATTTGGGGGAAATATCCTTCAAGCGGACTTGGCAAAAAGATGGATAGGATCTGGAATTTCCACGAGAGAACTATAAGCCTTTGGCCAGTCTACTGAAACGCTTCTACGAGTTCTCTCAGCCATACAAAACAAAATCCCATGGCTCGCTGACAGATTTCGACGACAAGAATGAGGCTATGCAAAGCTCCCGGAACGAAGTCCACAATCGAATTGAGAACGTCTTGCTAGAAAATGGCTTCGTAGAGAATGAAGATGACCTAAAAGTTCTCACAGAATTCGCGAGTCCGGGGCATCTCAAAGAAGTCCAAGTTGAGAGGGATGCTTTGCTCGCTACTATCGAGAACAGCAAATTAGCCGCGAAGAACTCCTCGAAACCACGCTCAGGAAGCTCGTCTCCGCAAGCACCCTATACTCAAGAAATTGAAGGCAAGACCAAAGTAGAGATACTACAAAAGGACACCAAGATCAAGACTCGACCAGCAGACCCCCGTATCGAATCTGCACCAATCCTCTCAGCAGTGTCCTCGCCTATTTCACCCACTCCAGTTCCGCGATATAAAAGACCAGCAACAATCACCAAGCGCGCTCTGGCTCTAATAAGAGCGGTGTTCTCCTCCGATCACCAAGAATCTAAGAAATCCATTGATTGGGATACCTTTGTCAATTCCATGTCAGACCTTGGGTTTCTGGCACAACACAAGGGTGGGTCGGCAGTGACTTTTGAGCATGAAGGTGTGGGCAAGATTATCTTCCACCGCCCGCATCCGGCTAGCGTTCTGAATCATGTTATGCTTGTTGCCATGGGAAAGAGATTGGGAAAGTGGTTTGGATGGAGGAGAGAGGTTTTCGATACTTAGGGGGGACGATAAGATAGGCGAGTTCTTTGAGATAGCGGTCAGGGAATGGGGTTTTATAATGTGATTTAAAGGACGGCTAATGTTTAGTAGAAATTTAGGTACTTAACTTGTATAAAAAGAGTAGTAATTAAAGTAATACTATAGAATAATAAAGGGCTTTCTTTACTATACTCTATAGTACTAATAAGTTAAATATAAAGAAGCCAGTGTATGGTATACGTTTCTCCCCTCTAAAGTTCTCCCCGCCACTCCTCTCCGCCGGAATCTCCGTTCCTATCCGTGTAAATTAGAGCGCTCTCCTTCCTTCTCTATTACTGACCAATTAGTACTCCTTCTCCTTACCAGGACCCTGGAGAGGAGAGGGCAGGAGTACTCCTAAGACTTGGTATCGTAGATTATAGTAGGTACTAGTAGTACGTGACTCGTAAGTAGTTAAGTACCTAGTAAAACAGGTAGAATATAAGGAATGTACGTCCTTGATCTATAGTAAGGGCAATTCTCGGGTACTTTGACAAACCTAGCCGAGCTAGCGTACTTTTAACGAACCTAGCGATCTAGCGTACTTGCGAACTTAGCGTACCTAAGAACTTAGCGTACTTACGAATAGCCTTATTTTCTACCTTATTTTAGCCTCTCCTTCCTACTCCTCTCCCGAATCCCACCTCTCCTTATCCTTGTCACGGTACAAGTGCAAGTCGAGGACAATTGCGACTTGGTTGAATAGATGATTACAGGGAGAGAAGAGATTCTTAAGGAGATCTATCTTTTAAGTCGGTTGACACTGGTCTGTGCTGGTTTATCCATAATTGTGAATAGCTTCATGAATGAACGCAGGTCACCTGATCTGACTCCTTGACAATCCTCTCCTTTCTAGACAAGTGACCTATTCTCCTCTCCTTCTCCTAGCTAAAGATATAGATTTCCTACTCCTCTCCTAGTAGTTAGGAGAGGAGAGGAGGGGAGATACTAAACACTAAAAGAAGCTCTTAGAGTAAAGTAAAAAGAAACTACTAACTAGTAGGAAGTTATTTCTATACTTTCCTTTTTTCTAAGGTAAATTAATTATAAATAATTATAAGAGATATAGCTATTACTTTATAAATAATATAGTTATTAGTTTATACTATATATACCTCTCTTAGAATATATTATTCTCAAAGCTTTATACTACCAAAATAGTTATATAAAGAGTTTAAAATATTTACTATCTTTTCTTTTATTATTCTAGATGTTCTAAGATAATTTTTTCTCTTATACTAGAAGTTTAGTATAATAACTTTATATATAGTTTATAGAGAAATAACTACTAGTATATCTCTTATATACTATAATTAAAGTTATTCTATTAAACTTCTAATATAACTAAGATAACTATATTAGTATACCTAAAAGAATAAAAAGTAACTAATAATAATTTTTCTAACCTTTTTATATAACTAACTTAATTATAAAATATAATTAAAATAATCTTATTCTAAAAAAGATATAAGTTATATAAAGTAATAACTTTATCTTTTACTTTAAGATAATTCTATTCTACTACTAAATAACCCCCTTTACTTTTTTTAGCTCTTAAGTATATCTAATTAAACTTTATAATAACTATAGTAATCTTTAATCTTTAATAATTAGTATTTAAAATTCCTTTTTATTCTAGACCCTCCTTCTAAAATTATTTTATTCTTTTTAAGATTTTACTAGAATTATTCTATTTTAAAGGTAAGTTATATAGAGTATAGATTTCCCTAAAATAAAGAATATATCTATATAAACTATATAGTTAAAGTCCTTATTATCCTTAAGCGTAAAGCGGAATCTATATAGCAAGGCGCTATACTTTTAGTAGTAATTATAGTACTTAGCTAACTTCTTAAGGATATATAAGTCTACTTCGTATCCGTGTCACGAATCACGTGCTCACGTGATACTTGTCATAATAAGAGGCGCAATCCTCGACAGGCACATCCAGGTTTCTTATAGCAAATAGGGATCGTTTGGAGTAGCTAAGCGATCCAGGGATTTCTCTGTATTGTTATCACGTGATATATGTCGCTAGACGGGGCGACTGGTCTACCAGTCTAGCAGCGACCGAGCGACGAGTCTAGCAAGCTAGCACAAGAGAACGAAGGTTCTATATAAGACTGGCACGTCTGCCATTAGATAGGAGCTTCGTGCTCAACTTAGTTATCAATCTTATCATATTAGTTTGACATCTTTGATACAAGTAACGAGTTCACTTCCAAGTGAACAACCCGATAGTCTTCTTCTTATCATAGCATACCAACCAGCGAACACCCAGCCCAGTTTAGTTAGCCAGTTTGAGTATTCGTTACATCTAGAGACTAATCGCTAGAAGTATTCTATTCTATTTTATAGGTACTCTAGAAGTATTTTATATAGAATATTCTACCTAGAACTCTATAGAATATAGTTCTATCTATCGAGCGTTATTAATCTCTATTATATATATATAGTATTACTAATAGACAATTATTATTAGTCGGTTACTATACTAATAGCTTATTAGGTAGTTTAGTTATATAGTATTTAGTATACTATACTAAAGTAACGGTATAGTTATAAATTTATATAATAACCGCTCAGTTAATAGTTCCTCAATAGTATAGTATTTTGCTTAGTTATTAAGCTTAGTTAGTATATACGTAATAGATTTAATACGATTCGAATATTCCTATCTATAGTATTAGTCCTATAGTATAAGTAGGAATATCTAGAAGACTACTTATCTAAAATATAACTTATTAAGGCTCGGATAAGGGTATATTACGATATATCTACTAATTTTATTACGTGGATATACTTCTTTTTTAATTTATAACTTTATAAAATCACGGTTACTACTAGTAACCGACGGTTACTACTATACTATTAGTAACTACTTTACTAATGGTTAACTACCTAGTAAGACGGTATAGTATAGTTATACCCTATGTATTATTAGTTAACTGTCTATTAGTAATACTATATATATAGTAACCTAACCCCTACTAGATTCTACTATTAGTAAGAAGTTTTATCTAATTTTCGATATAAAGGGAGTAGAATAAAAGGATATTAAGTATAGATAGAAACGATAGTATTCCTATTACTTTAATTAAGACCTATGAAACGGAGAGAGATATATATATATATACGGAGAAAGACTTGAGAATATAGCGTTTAGCCTGATTACTATAAGAAAATAAAGATCTCTAAGTTTCCTTGAACTATAGATATGAAGACCTACTGTAACATTCCTAACAAGCACTTATATATTCCCCTTTTTCAGACTTCGTGGAACCACAAATTATCTTCTTACCTTCATTACAATTCTTACATAGCTCATGTCGTTTTCGTACAACCTGACGAGCATTTCACACCAAGACTGGACAACAATCCCTTGAAAAAATAAATTAACAAAATTAAACCTACTTTTTCACCTCCCAAATCCCATAAACCACTAACCGTAAGAGCCCCATCTCTCCACATTACCCTCTAACCAACTCCCCCTTCCCCTCCATCTCACTCAACACCCTATCCGCCACACGAAAAGCCTCCATCCCAGCAGGAAGCCCACAATAAGCACTATCAAAAATCAGCATTCTCTCGATCCAGCCCATCCCATGTACCCTCCCCATCCACTCTGACCAAAAAATGAACCACGAAGCAGAAGAAGAAGGAATAGAAAGGAAAACAAACCTAGCCTGCAAAAGCGCCTCTCGAATCTCCACCTCCGTCGCTCCGTTCCTAACCGCCCCCCGAACATGCGTCCCCAGCTCAATCCACTTCCCCAGCGCAGTCAACATAACGAGGTTCAGCAGACTTCTCGTCTTCAACTCGAGGCCGGGACGGGTCCAGATGGTGCCCCAGGCGGATTCCTACTTCGTGATTAGTATCTTGTTTGTGACATTCCCTTTTAACCCGAGCGAGGAAGAAATGCAGCGAGCATGAATATGATATGATATGATATAAGGATGTGAAAGAATGTGGAAGATAAAAGGTAGAGAGAGGTAAGATACAGAACAAAACTGAAGAAAGAAAGAGCCAAAAACAAACCGTAGCAAACTGCACCAAAGGCCTCGTAAAATCCCCCGAATTCGTCTCCAAACTCGCCGCCACATAGTCCTCCCCCACGACTTTCCGTCGCATCTCAATCCCTCTCTCATAAAGCGTCTGATGCTCCGGCGAATCCATGTTGTTCTGTGAGATATCGACTTTTCCCGCCGGCACGGCGTTACTGTTAGACGCCATATCGGTGGTTGGAGTATCTTTCTTGCTGGTTGCTGTGGTGAGTCTCTTGTTGATTTGACTGTGATTGTTGTTGTTGTTGGAGTAGAAAGTACTCGTCTGTACCAAGTGAGGTCAGTCAGATGTTAGGTAGGTACGAGTAGTTCAATCCCAATCTTGAGGTCCTTCATTACCTAAAGTAGCTTGACTTGCCGACGTCGTCCAAGAATGGGATGGGGACGGGAAGGACCAAGACTTCGCCAACTCGGCAACGTCAGGTGTATACTCATAGAAATAACACCACACCCCCTCCATTCCCCCTTCCCCCAACACCCCCAAAAACATAAAATAACTCACCTCACACCCCCTCCCCATACTCCCCAAACCATCCCTCTCCCTCTCCCTCTCCCGTTCCCGTTCCCTCCAACTCTTCCTCTCCTGGAACCCAAACGTCCCCACACTCCCTCTAACCCCCACGGGCGCAAACCCAGGCGTAAAATCCGGCGTGGTGGGCGAGTAAAAGCTGCCGCCGTAATCCATCCGGGTAGACGTATTTCTATTCTCATTCTGCTTCTCATTCTGATTCTGATTCAGATGATGGAAACCACTCAATCTCTCCACCTTGGTGGTGGTTCCATTCTTGTTGGTGAGTAGGAAATCCATCTCACCCCCTTACCTAGACCTGTACAAGTATCCCCTACAAGTATATACTGTATGATAGGATATAAAACAACAAACTCCCCAAATACAATACACAAAAAAAAAAAAATATCAAGATCCAAGAGCGAGCTACCTCGGTATTGTAACGAAGTACTCACCTACCTACCTACCCTACGATACTCGTACCTACTCAGGGGGAAATCAGATGTTCCCACCCAATGCACCCATGTCGAGAATCTCCCATGCCGCCATGCGCGTACTGTACTCATACAGGAGTCTAATTCGTCTCTCGTATAGATAATGTGCGGGGAACCTAGTCATTAATTTCCATGTTGGGGTAGGGTACTCGTACGCATCACAGAACAGACACGGGAATATACCCTGTGATGCCCCGCGAGCCAATGAATAGGATTTCCGTGCCGGGTTGAAGTGAAAAAAGGGGGGTACGGCACGGTAGTATGCAGCCACTTCCAAGTTTCCATGTAGGACGTAAACGTGGCTGGCTGTTTATTTCAATAACTGCTCTTGTTTTCAAATCTCAAGTGTATTGTTATTGTTATTGTCAAACTCGAATCACACCGGCAAAGGGAAGCATAAACGAACGAGACTATTTAAAGAGGTATGGTATTCCGTGGATCTCCATCTTAGTAATGTTACATCTAGGAGAGCGATGAGGAACGAGAAAACATTTCGCAAATCCCAACTACGCTGTAAAAACCAGAGAGCACGAAACATACAATCCCCGAACTTTCATCTTCATAATACAATCCCCACGCGGAAAACAGACCAGTTAGGGAAGGTGACGCACCATCCCGCCAATTGAACGTTTCCTCAGCATACGAGTACATGTCATCGAAGACTCTACAATGTACCGCCCTCTTTCTATGTGGTCTTCGTCTAAACGTCTATGGCACATCCCAAAGGATGGATCGTGTACGTTTGGGTATAATTGTGTGAGGATTTATGCCGTAGTAGGCTTGAGAGTCATTGGGGTGGCGTTCTCGGCGAAAGGCACACCAAGTTCGAACAGCTTAGTGATGACGGCGGAGAAATCCTTGAAGAAAAGATCGTTGTCCTTGGCATATTTCTCGACCCATTGTTTGAAGGATTTGTCGGATACAAGAGCCATATCGGTAGGAAGCATCATCAAGGTCTTGGTCGTCTTGTCCTCCAACTATTGAGTTTGTTAGCAATTGCCACTTGTAAGAATATTTGGATAACATACTTGCTTAGGGCCCTTCCAGTTCTTCCACTGCCATTTCTCGTTCAAGAGCAACTTGTAGTACTCGTTTGTCACGACGGTTGGAGAGAATGTCCATGGTCCAGTAAAGCCACTGCGATCAGTGTGGCAGCGGCCCAAGGCGTGAGCTCCGGAAAGGGCAACAATCTCCTGGTCATTGAAACCCATACGATAAAAGATATCTCTCAAGTGCTTGTTTCCCTGGGTTGCATCTGGAAGACGTCCGTCAGGCGTGCAAGCAGCAATATCCTTATCCTTTCGTCCTGGTCGGTATGGAATTTGGGGACCCAACATTTCTTGAATGGCCACGACACCTGCGAGAATCCAGAGATCGGAGTAGCTGATCCATGGGTTGGCCTCTGTCTCAATTGTTAGCTAATATTACAGCTGGGCAGAAGAGTGGGTAGCTTACGCTTGACTGGCTCAAGAAAGTCGCGAGCAGCGGCCAAACCAGCATTGGCACCGTGGTCACCCTCTGGAGCAAATCTCATGGTGGCACCGTTGCTACCTCCAGTTCCGGTCTCTTTATCATAGGTGCCGCTGGCGTGCCATGCCAATCGTACCAAGACGGGTCCGTAACTTCCATCATCATAATCATCCTTCTCCTCCAATCGTGCGGCGATCTGGTTGTAGACCTTTTGGTAATCATCCTGCTTTGGCTGGAAGAAACCGGAGGTCTCGCCCGAAGAACCTGAGAGCAGAGTACCGTTGCCGTAGTAGTAGAAACCAGCACCACCGGCGAGAGCAAGGGCTCCGATGCCAATGAAGAGACCAGAAGACGACTTGGCTGCGGGCTCAGAAGCGTAACCTCGTCGTGACTGCTGGCGGAAAGTCTGGCGTAGGAGAGCAAAGGCAGGGCGGGTTCGAGTTGAGCTTCTCAAGGCCGAGGCCGAGGGAGTAGATTTGATTGCCGCGCGGGCGAGGGTTCTGGTGGCGGACATTATTGTGTGAAGGGAGAGAGCTCCTGATGGTAGTTGAATGCTCAAGGTGATGATAGATGTACTGAAAGAGATTCCGGCCTCTAAAAGTCTATGGCGGAGAAGAAGATGGAGATGTTCAATAAATGGGGGGAGATGTTGACACCCTGGCAGATGGTTCGAGAAGAAATTGTTTGGTTGGTGAGACTTGAACTCTGTATCGCATTATTTGGCGGTACTGGGTACTCTAGCTATATCTAGTCGGCCCAGTCGGCCCAAATCGGAAGGCGCCGACGAGTAGCCGGTGGAGCTACGGAGGGTTATGGGACTATCGAACTCCATCCATTGGTTCACCACAACCACTAAATTATTTGACAAGAGCTGTCTACAAGGTACCCGAAGGTACCACACGACCGTTCTGATCTCGATGCTGACAGATTCGGTCATTTGGACTAATTCTAGTGAAAATAGTCAGTTCATTGAGCTCCCTTCGGGATTTGGCTATGAAAGCTGACTGTCAGATGAATGATGCACAGTAGCACCAAAATGACCTCAGATTCGGGAGGCTCTGCCTTTGCCTCTTGGCCTGGGAAACTTTCCATTGGTCATGAGTTTTAGCGGCTCGTTGACTGGCTGCTGACCCAAGCTCAGATCCCGGGATACCCCACCACGAAATCTTATCAACAAGGGAAAGAAAACGTGGACGACTTGCTCCACATTTCGCTTGCAAGTGAATATCATACACGAAGCTATTCGTATAGTGAGTAACTCATTTTTGAGGAATTATTCCTTTCTTTGAAATGTGTTGTTCTACTTATTTAAGACAATACAAGTAGCTATTCCCATAAACTTTTCCATCACTTTGAAGAAAGATATAACCATTCTAGTAGCGGTGTCTAGAGTTACAACATACAGAATAGTGCTGTAAGAGCTTAGACAAAGCAACTTAGTTACTGTTATCTACTGATCTCTTCAATCCAAAGCCCTTCATCAATTACCATTATCATTATCATAGGCTTCGAAATAATTGAGCCATACAAGGCCCGACCCGAGTCCTTTTAGGCCACCCGGATGGCCCTCTCCGAATCTTACCTGATATGCTTATATTTGAAAAGCACTGGATAATCTTCACCGCCTGCGTTTGATATTTCATCCCGTGTTGGTGGTAGTCTTGAACAAACTCAAGCCTTGACCAGATGGTTCTGATTGGACCAGAACTGGTTTGAAAACTGTTGATTCCAACGTACCTTCCTTCAAGGCGCTGGCTCAATCCCTCGATAGCCCACGGGCTTTTCTCATCGTTTTGCTCTTTGAGAAATGTTTACCCCATAGCGAGATTTCTTTGGAATAGAAACACATTTGGCGGCATGGATGGATACAAAAGTGTTCTGGTTGGCGTTCTTTCAACTCTGCCGTTGAAAGATATCCTCTCTTCCAAGTGGTCTCGTTCCATCATTTAATACCATTGCTTCTCGGTGCCGTCTGCGAATAGAATCTTCCTCTGAGCTTTGTTCTCTCCGCCTTCTACCCCCTTCCACAAACATGCCGTCAAAGTCCTCCCCTGCAGTTCCTTCACCATTTGTCATTCTTACGTCTCTAGAGCTTGGTAAATCCCACTCAAAATCCACAGGTAAAAGTTTTGTCTTGATGAGTTGTTTCCGTCCACTTGAATTTCTTATTAATGGAAGGCAAAGGCCGTTCAGCTGATTTTGCGTCCGTAGCGATTGGAGGAAGTTGACTTGTCGTTTGCAGTCGTCGTTGCCCCAAGGTTCCTTTCCCAAGAAGCGTTCAACAAAGCGTGCCTTGATCAATCCTTGGACACCAAAATGATCCACTAACTGACTTAAAAACAGTAAGCATTCTTGTTCAACGCCATCCCGAAGTTGCCAATTGTCCCATTCGACATCATATGGATTGTGTTCGTAGTCGGTAAGGCTGTATTCGAGTGATTTTACTAGCGCAGAATAGGTATCTGGTTTATTTACAAGGTGTATTGTGGCTAACTGCTATTAGTGCAAGTTCAATGGTAAGGCGAGTCTTTGTCGTACATTGATGGACCATGTAGGACAAGGCCTTGATGCCTTTCTCCCTAGTGTCGTAATCTGGTCGAGTTATGTAGTGAAGAATGGTATCGAGTGTAGTCTGGTCGTATATTGCGCGCTCACAGATTATTATGGACGTCGTTTCCTGGATGGAATAGTTTGTGCTGTCGAGGAGCTTGTCGAGAGTTGAAACTTTCAACGAATCCTCGACTTTCTGATCGATATATTGAGTCTTATTTTCGGCAGGCGGCAAGGCAGCGGCATCGCGATAGTTTTCTAGGAGATGTCGCATGAGACCGACAACAGCGCATGCTCCCAATCCGATTCCCAAGAAGAATACACGATCCTGTGCTGGCTGGGATAGCGGCATTCTGTATAGGCTCAGTCCTGTAACGGTACATACTCCGAGTCCCATTCCAAGGTAGTACGCGCGTTTATCCATAGCTCGCAGGCGCGACGCCATCGTATTTGATTTTGAGTTGGCATTCGACTTCCAAGGTTGACGAAGTGAATTGGAAAGTTGAACATCTGCAAATGTTGCACAAGGCGGCGCAAGGCTGCAAAATCACCGCCTTTTTCTGCCAGAGTTGACGACCACTTTAGGAAAGGTTTAGTGGGGCCGATAGATGATAACCTTGGTCGTCGGATAACCTGAAAATAAAAAAAGTTCCTCCCAAACCTATCTCAACCTACAACCCCGCCAAAATGCCTCCTTCACAACTCAAGAGATTAAAGGCTTCATTGAGGGAGCAGGGATTGGTGGGACCACAGCAGTCGAAAAAACAGAAAAAACAAAACGCGCAAAATGGAGTCAATAAGGAAAAAAGAGTAGGAAAAAAGGTTGCGCTCGATGGGATCCGGGAACAGTTCAATCCTTTTGAATTCAAACTGTCCGGCAAAGCGCCCAAATTTGAAGTCACTACCAACAAAGGCAAGACTAATGCGACTGTACGGCGGCCGGGTCTTCAGAAGGGTCTCGCTGAAGAGAGGGTTAGTCTGGGGTTTGGCCATCTACATTTCTTATGCTAATGTATACATACAGCTCACTAAGGCCTACGAACTCAATATGCTGCTAAAGAGAAAAGTAGGAGGCATTGTGGATAAGCGTTTCGGAGAAAATGACCCTTCAATGGCCCCAGAAGAAAAGATGTTGGAACGATTTACGCTCGAGAAACAAAGGCACCACAAGCATTCAGCATTCGACTTGGAGGACGACGATATGCAGGGAGAACTTACACATATGGGCCAGTCGCTTTCTTTGGATGGTCCGACTCTTGCGGACGATTTCGATGAGGACGATCTGGAATTATCGGACGCGGAAGACCACCCTTCAGACGAGGAACGACAGGCCCGAAAACGACGCCGATCGCCTGGTGCTGAGGATGAAGAGGACGACGGAGAAGAAGACGAGGATAGGCCAGAACGGAAAAAGTCGAAGCAGGAAGTTATGTCAGAGTTGATTGCAAAATCCAAACAGCACAAGTACGAGCGACAGGCTGCGAAAGATGATGATGAAGATCTCCGGGAAGAATTAGACAAGGAAATGGGTAGCATTCATGCTCTTTTACGGGGACTCGGTCCAAAAGCGAAACCTTTGGCTCCAGCAGTCACACCTGGAATGAATCCTGAACGAGCTGCTCTATTGAATGGGACGGATAAAATCAAATTCGATAGAGAGTATGACTTACGATTGAGACAACTAGCTCAAGATGCACGTTCTAAACCTACCGAGCCATCTAAAACAGAAGATGAAAGAATAGAGGCAGAATCCAGGAAACTTCGCCAATTGGAAGAGAAGCGACAACGACGTATGCAGGGAGAACCACAGAGTAGCGATGAGGAAGACGCGGTTGATAATAATGTTCTTGACGGAGATGCAGAAGATGAAGAGGACGATTATGGATTGGGTTCTGGAATCAAAACACGACCTACCATGAGCGAACTGGGTGTTGAGGACGAGGATGACTTTGTAATTGACGACGATTTGGTTGCAAGCGGGTCTGACCCCGAGATTTCTGGAGATGAATCTTCAGACGACAAAGAAGATGGACAACAGGAAGCTGGGGAATATGAGGATACGGAATTTCTAAAGGGATTCTTGACAGAGGAAGAGGCAAAGCGACCAGAGTTTCTGACGGGGGCAAATGTACCAATCCCAGAAGTGGAACTTCCTGAGAAAAACGGCGTCAATGGAAATTTGGCATATACGTTCAAATGCCCTCAATCTCATGAAGAGCTTCTCGAGGTAACAAAGGGAATTGCTCTTCTGGATCTTCCAACTGTCGTCCAACGAATTAGGGCACTTTACCACCCCAAACTCAACAGCGAGAACAAGGAGAAACTACGCGACTTTTCTGTATCACTAGTTGACCACATTTCATACCTGACGGACCAACCTATTCGACCACCCTTTTCGGTGCTGGAAAACATTATTCGGCACATTCATTCTCTAGCCAAAACTTATCCTTTGGAAATTGCGAACGCCTTCCGAAGCCGCCTCGAGGAGATCAATGAATCGCGTTCATTGACTCCTACTGCGGGGGATCTGATAATTCTCACCGCTATTGGGAGCATCTTCTCGACGTCGGATCATTTTCATCAAGTGGTTACCCCGGCACTTTTAACAATGAGCAGATATTTGGGGCTTAAAATACCCCAAACTCTGTCTGATTATGCGACCGGGGCATATATGTGTACATTGTCGTTGCACTATCTACGACTTTCGAAACGATACGTGCCAGAATTGGTAAGCTTTATCGATAATACTCTTTGCGCTCTTTCTCCTAAGAAGTTGGCGAAACTACCGGGAAATTTCCCTTACCATGAGCCAAAAGTGTCCCTTCGAATAGAGGGCGTTCTGAAGTCAACGAGACGCCTAAGTTTGTTTGATTGTGTTGAACAAGGACTTTCTGGGGATGAAGAGCAATCTTTGAAAGCAGCGCTCTGGGACACAAATCTTGCGCTTCTGGGAGTAGCTGCGGAGACGTGGGCGGAAAAAGCTTCTTTTACGGAACTCTTTGAACCTACAATAAAAATCTTACAACACCTTGGAAAAGAGAACTGCCGGTCTAATCTTCCACCAAGTACCCAAGTAAGCTCAGACCTCACATCTTCATATCAAGTTGCGACTAACGTATCCCCAGAAAACCATCACAAAACTCACCAAGAACCTAACTATCGCAGTCAAAACAGCCACTCTAGCCCGTCGCCCACTAGAACTGCACCACCACCGACCTCTCGCCATCAAAACGGCCATTCCCAAGTTCGAGGAGTCCTACAATCCAGACAAGCACTACGACCCAGACCAAGAGCGGACCGAAGCCGCGAAACTTAGGAAAGAGTATAGGCGCGAGAAGAAGGGTGCGATGCGTGATCTGCGGAAGGATGCTAGTGTCATCGCGCGTGAGAGCTTGCGTGAGAAGAGGGAGCGCGATGAGGCGTATGAGAAGAAGTATAAGAGGCTTGTTGCGGAGATTCAGGGTGAGGAGGGGAGGGAACAGAAGGCGTATGCGAGGGAGAAGGAGTGGAGGAAGAAGGGGAAGAAGTAGGGTGTGTGTATTTTACAAAAGGAAACTGATGGAGGAGATACCCCGTGTGGATTACATACAATTGGTGTATTCAGAATATATGGTTGGTCTTTGTAATTTACTAATGCCCTTGAAGTCTTTCTCCTTGTGTTCAGTGAGGCTCTGATTGGTTTGAGGTTTGGGAGAAAACTTGATGGAGAAGAGGCATAGTTTCATTAGGTCGATAATCATATGTCTATAAGCGAATCATGAATAATTGCTGAGTTAGCGAATCATGCGTAGTTCACAAAAATGGGTGGAAGTGAATAGCTACCCCTTTCAGCAAGTCAATTATCCCAACTTGGTAATCCGCCTTGACTTTTGTTGCATATCGCAGTTAGTCGTCCGACTCGCATCCAACTCGCTAAAGCTACAGGAACTTGCAGGCCTGAAGTTGTGGCTGTCAATTTGTGCTTTTACATTGGTTACCCCTAGATTTGCAACTTGGTTAGATTGATTAATTAAGCTCATTCCAATATCTCAGTGGTACCTAGATGTATGTAGGAATAGATTTGGGAAGATGGGGTGGGGGATGTAGTGTAGGTACTTAGAATGGGTTCGCAAGTGGTGATATATGTAGCATACAAATATAAATCTTCCTTTTCGCTATATATCACTCCTTCTGTTTTTCGGGAGATATGTCCATAGCTATGTTAGGTTGTTGAAAAGCTAAAGCCTAATGGACAGGTATAAGCGAGGAAGAAGCAGGCAATGAAATTCCACTCTTCGTGTCTTCTTTATCAGTTACTTTGTTATTCATAACTTTAGTCTTCATGAGAGAGGAGACGTCATCACAGGATCGATTCGTAGCATCGGAGAACTCTCTCGGTTTCAATGTGATGGACAGACTGAGGGTTATAATTTTCTGTATCAGATAGGTACTGCATACCAAAAAAGCACCCCCATAAATCTCGCGAAAGGAAAAGAATCACCTCGAGGCTCGAGTGCTAATCAAGCAGTCAAGTGACCACATCAAACAAATTCTACTTCATTTATGCACTCATCCATTCATCTACAAACCCACCATCTCTACACATTTTCCACCCATCAACTTCTTCCTCTTCAGAACAGAAAAAGGACTCCATAGATCCAGAGCACCTGAGACATTTCCGCCTTCTATCTTTCAAAGGAAACCAATTTTCAAATTTCTTGAAATGATAGAAACGGAGAAGAGATCTAAACAGAAGACCTCGTAAAAGAACCTCCAACCTGCCCAGTAGGAGTCTCACACTCCGTCCCCGCCCCAAAAGGAACAGGAGGCACAACCGGGAAGCAGAAAACACTCAAACCCAAATCACCCGCCGCAACAGCAGGACTAAAAAACATCATCAGTACACCACTCACCCCATTCCCGTTAAGAGCGACTTACTTTCCATCACAATCAACATAACTCGTCCCCACCGTCAGAACACGATCCGCCGACCACCTGAAAACTGTCTCCCCATCAGCACACGTAGCCAGGGTGGCCGAAGTGATATCCCCATTCCGAGTACAGCGGGTCGATGTCCCCGCACTGGCAAAGGTGAAGCTGACGAAGGCCGGGTTGGTGTTCCCCTCTGCGGGGCCGAAGGTGGTGAAGCCGTTGATTTGGAAGGAGGTTGGGGCGGTGCATTCTCTGGGGGTGAGGGGAGAGGGGAGGGCGGTGGTGAGTGCTGAGAGGGCGAGGAGGAGGAGGGGGGTGGTGCACATTTTGGGGGTGTTTATATGGTGGGTTTTTCTTGGTTTGTAGGTTACTTGGGGATTGGAGAGTTGAGGATGAGGACTGAGATGAGAGGATCTACTTTGAGAGGAGGATTGGGAAGGCTTTTATACTTCGATATCATTGTATCTTGCCTCCCTCGGTCAGCTCTCGGCAAGGTAAGTTCTGGCATTACCTTCGCATAGCCCCTTAGGTGAAGAAATATAAGCATCGCAGCAGACGCCACAGCTACGTACCGTACCATAACTTCTCTAGCTGCATACGGCGAGAAGCGTATATACCTCAGCTACTAACTCGGTATCTTCTCATAAGACATAAGAGCATAGAAGAAAATGTTCTTTGCCGAAAAACTCAGTTTCATGCATGGCTGGCTGACAACTCGAATACGCGATATTGAAGCTGCAAGTAGCATGACAAAGCTCGCCTCCAAATTGCCGAGCTACTCCGTGAGTACGCACCGTGACGAGACATCGTATACAGATATAAGCTTATATCGGGTTATAATACCCAAGATCTCCTCTTTGGAGAGACAGAATAAGGTTGTTGCCTAGTATGAAGCATAGAACAAGCATATACGAAGCGGTAAGACGCATGGTCTGTGATTCTACGACATTCGTATCCAAACAACCACAGATAAACAAAACAAAGAGATCAACGAACGGGAAGATGAAGGGAAGAGAGTAACGTTGCAATAACCCGAATTCTCTGAGTAATCAAGCAAGAGACTTCTTCCTTGTCTGTTGAGCCTGTATGGTAGAAGAGGCAAGGTTGGTAAAATCTGATGAAGCGGTGCGGTAAGTTACACTCAAATCTCGTGGCTTGCAATTGATCCGTGATCTTTGAGTGCTACCTTGTTCCCGTCATTTCGTATATATCAACCAATGCAAATCCCCAAAAGACAAACGATGAGGAAATGGTAATCACTGCCTAGAATCAAGCTGCGTGAGTAGCGAACTCTTGAAACCTCGAAACAAACCAATAAACCCAACAATTCCAAGAATGAGGTGAGAAAACATAATCCGATCCCGGCACTCAGCATCAGCTCTCACCAAGTCCCTCGCCTTACCTACCGCACGGCCGCTTTAATCCGCCCCTCCCGCATCCAAACCACGCTAACCCACGTGACCCCACAAACCCACCATTCGCAAAACCTCCCATACCACCCACGAACTTTTTCTCCCTCACGACAAAACCACATCGACAACCAACGACCACAAACAAGAATGGCAGCAGCAAAGGAACGAAGCGGCCTAGCCGTCGGCCCAAACAAGGGACACGTACGTCAACACCAATACCATTGAAGCCCGTCTCACCTCTTGGAGGATCTTCTCTTCTTCTCATCCCGATGAAGAAACCAAAAAAGATGAAGATGGACTTAACGGGCTAACCACTATTTTTGCTGGGGGATATAGAAAACCGAGGCGCGTGTGAGCAAACCACGTGTGAGCAGAACGAAGGGCCACTTGAGCAAGCGTACTGCGTTTGTGAGGGAGATTGTTAAGGAGGTTTCTGGGTATGTACTTTCCTCCTACCACGTTGAGGATTTTTGGGAGGGGATATGTGTTGTGTCATGATATAGTGGGATGATGGCTAATGTTCATTCAACAGACTCGCACCCTACGAGCGAAGAGTCATCGAACTCCTCCGCAACAGCAAGGACAAGCGCGCCCGTAAGCTCGCAAAGAAGAGAGTACGTTCTCCCTCTCCCTATCACCAACATCCCACCACCACATACAAACACGATACTAACGCACCCCACAGCTTGGTACCTTCGGACGCGCCAAGGCGAAGGTCGAGGAGTTGCAAGGAGTCATTGCAGAGGCCAGAAGAGCCGGTCACTAAACGTCTCACTTTCACGCATTCGATTCGATTCGACATTTTTCCCGATTGGTCATATCTTGATGGCATATTGTGCTGAATGGGAACTGGGAGTTTGTACGAAGGAAAGGAAAAAAATAACAAGGGAAAATGAACACTTTTCTTCCGATGATACCAAAAAAGTGAACTACATACGGCTGGCTGGGCTTCACGGTTATGATGGCTGGCAAGATTGACATGATATGTCTAAAGCAATGAACAACTTCAAGAATACCCTTTTGCTATGCGGATTTCATGCTGTGATTCTTATAACTTTCTTCATTTCTATGGTCGCTCTTGATGCTGCACATACTGATGTGCAAAAGTAATAACAAATCCCAGGAACTCCTCGCTATGCCCAATTCCCACATCATGATGCTAAAAACCCCTTCCTCGCGTATCTAAATACTCTTCGCCCACGTTGAACATGCCTTATTTCTTGCCCAACTTAAGCCATGATGGAACTCCCCCTTTGCCCTTCGCTTTTGGCTTCGGATCAGCTTGTCCAACACCAGAACTCGACGCACCAGCAGTCTCACATTGAGTCGCCGATACAATCTCAGGAATCGGAATCTCCTTCGCCTTCTGCGCAAACTGCGGCTTCAAAGTCGGCGCTTTCGTCGCCGCATCACTCACTCCCTCCCCCCACGTGAAATTAACCATCACATTCCCCTCAAACCTCAAATCCTGAATCAACTTCTTCCCATCTTTCGGAACCACATGTCGTTTGCCCGTAGCATCAATCCAGCCCAACTTGAAAGGCTGATTCTCAACTCTGATCACCCCCGTAACATATTTATGCAGATCCAACCCCGTTTCATGGGCTTCGAAGGGAGAGATGATGGTTGATTGGTCGGGGAACTTGATTTTGATCTTGACGGTCTTGGTTGAGGTGATTTTGGCGGCTTTTTCTTTCTCGAGTCGTTCGACTTCGTCGTAGGAGAGGAGACGTTGGTTGTGTGTACTGGATTTTAGGCGGTCTTGGTGGAGTTTTGCGTGGATTATGGAGGGCTCGTAGTCCTCTTCGCGGAATGGTTGGAGGGCGGCTTTGGGGACGTCGCCGGTTGGGGCAGAGTATATTGTGATGGGACGTTGGTCGGGGCCGACTAGTTCTTGCTCGGACTCGGGTGTTGGTAGTGATGCTGTTGGTTCTGGCTCTGTCTGACTTGTTTCAGTCTCGGTATTAGGTGTAGCTTCTTCAGATGTGGTTTTTGCGCTATCAACCGGACTATTAAAATCCTCCACCGGAGCAGCTGCAGATACGGACGCAGCGGGTTCCACAGGATCCTCCTTAAAGTACTCCTCAATAATCGCCATAGCCTCTTCCAAAGGTTTATCCGTCCCCTTGAAGTTCAGTCGAATCAAACACGAGCCTTTATTAAACCCAAACTGCGCCAGCGTCTTTTGCAAATCCGTAAATTCCGCATAGTCGCGCCCCATCAGATTCACAACCGGCATTTCGTAGAAGATGAGAGCCTCCAAGACATTTCCATTCTGCACATTCGTATTTCCCCGCGCGGTAAAGTTGAAGTTCTTACTTTCGACGCTCTCGAATTTCCGTAAGACGTGCCATATCGTCGTATCGCTTGAGAACTTGTCGGTCAACCTCCCGCCTGGAACGCTAGCGGCGTATTCTTCCGGTAGTTGGAGGGCGACTGAGATGACGGTCGGGGATTTCGAGGCGACGACTAGCTCGAGCTTTGCGCCGGGGACGATACCGGCTTGTCTGAAGGGGACTTCCATCGGTATGGATTTGCCTTTGTTTCTGAGATTTTGTGTTAGCTATTGTCTTTTGAATAGTAGGATTCCACGTCTGGGACAACAAACTTGAGAACATAGTTGCTTGACTTTAACCCAAACTTCTTGCAAGCTTCCTCCAAGACATCCGTCATGTAAGTGCCTGGAGTGACTTTGATATTCTGCCGTCGAAACGAGGTATCGGTGACCACCACATGCGAAGCCATATTGAAAGCGAAGGTATGAAGCGAAGGTAAATTGGTATTCAGTGTTTGTGACTGTGCTGTGACCGCGAGAAGGAAGAAGGGTGTGTTAACTGTTGACAGATATGGGGTTTTGTCAGAGCAGTGGCGGGGTTCTTTATGCTTCCTTTGCCTACAGAAGTTTCACGCTGCTGCAAAATATTACTATTCCCGAGTGGAAATGGAATCTTGAAGTAGCGCTTCAGAAGTGAAGAGGGGTTGAAATAAAATAATAGAGATTCTGAGGATGTTGGTAGAGTATGTGCATTGAGTACTCGTAGTCCAGTGGTCTTCTACCTGGCATTTTGATGCCGCGGCCACATGTATTGTACGGCTTCAAGGGTGAGGCACTCGCTTCAAGGGTGAGGCACTCGCCTCGACTGGTCGGTTATACACTTATATATATTTTTCTTTCAAAGTCCACACTGGTTATCTGGAGTCTTGGAAGGGGTTTTGCCGCTATTAGTAACCATTATTCCCCTCTTATACCAATTGTTTTGGCAGATTTCCAATAACTGGTTTTGTATATCTCATCATTGCCGCTTTTCATCAGAAGGAAGAAAAGCGGCAGGGATTTGATGGTCCAAGCTTCTGGGCGGATTGAAGCAACAAGGCTTACGACTGTCTACGTGCCTTGCAGTGGATAGGTAGAGTAGAGGTAGGCATTGACTATCAAAACCTCCAACTATCAACAGCCTCGCCATACCTCAACTCTCCACTGAAAGGCCACCTCCTACTCCAAGAATTCATCCAACCTCCTCTGTCATTTCTGCAGATACTCCCCTCATTGAATCCTCCTAATCCTTCAATATGGTAAGGTCTCCCTCGTCCTCCCCAAAACAGCTATAGCTAACCCATCTCCAGAGCTCCCCATTCGCAATCAGTACGCCCCACCCTCCTCATACCCTCTCACCCCCTCTCGCCCCCCCCTAACACACAATCCCAGATGGCGGCGCCTGCGTAGCAATGGTAGGAAAAGACTGCGTAGCCATAGCCTGCGACCTGCGTCTCGGCCTGCAATCCCTAACCGTATCCAACAACTTCCCCAAGATCTTCTCGTACGGCGACGTGTACCTAGGGCTCACAGGTCTCGCCACGGACGTATCGACCGTCAGCGATCTCTTCCGCTACAAAGTCAACATGTACCGCCTCCGCGAGGAGCGCAACATCTCCCCCAAGACCATGGCGAATCTGGTCAGCAGTTCGCTGTACGAGCGTCGCTTTGGACCCTTCTTCGTCAGTCCCGTGGTGGCGGGGATCGATCAGAAGACTGGGAAGCCGTTTATTTGTGGCTTTGATAGTATTGGTTGTATTGATTTTGCAAAGGACTTTATTGTCTCGGGGACGGCGAGTGATCAGCTTTTTGGAACTTGTGAGGGGCTTTGGGAGCCGGATTTGGTGGGTTATATCCTTTCCCTCTTTCTTCCTATCCTACCATCTCAATCAATCTTAAGCTAATATATGGATATAGGGACCAGAAGACCTCTTCGAGACCATTTCCCAGGCTTTGTTGAATGCGGTGGATCGAGATGCCTTATCCGGATGGGGAGCACACGTTTACATTATCGAGAAAGACAAGGTCACGAAACGCTTGTTGAAGGGTAGACAAGATTAGAGGAGAGCAGCTAGGCATGATGAATGTGGGGGGCAATGGGAATCAATGAATAGAGTGGTCTTCAGAGCTCTCCTCGCTCTGTGTACTATAAGATATCTAGCAAGGGAAGCTTGATACCACGAATGGAAATGGCATGAACAAGATACTATTACATCACTTAAATCTTCCGGGGTAATGACTTCTGAATTCTGATCTTGTGGGAAGCGTATAGTGTGAAGCTTCCGAGAGCTGCTTAACTCAAAGTAAAATTTCCAACAACCCACACTGAGATTACAAAAGAAGACAGACCTATTCCAATCCATTACGTATCGAGCCTCCAAGGTTCAGTATCCCTCTACCATCACAGAAATAAAGTACAATATCTGGGATACATTCCCTCGGAAGTACTGTACCAACTTTCCTTTGACTATACATTTGAGGTGAGTAAGTGGGATATACGTACACCTATGTAAATTTACTGCCTCATTCGCGCTTTTTGGATGAGGTATTTGTGTTGTTGTTTGGGGGGAGGAATGGGACGGATGCGAGGATGGTAAGGGTGTTTTTGTTTTGGGCCTTTTAGTGAGGTGTGGAGAGTGAAGAGGGTATGGAGGCATAGAGAGTAGGATGGAGGAGATGAGAGGAGAGTTGAGTTGAGTTGAGTGGGTTTCAATGATATGGGCTGGGCTAATTTGGTTTGTGATAGTATTATACGGTAAAAGAGTTGGGGAGAGTAAGTGTTAGTAGTACCTAGTATTAATATATCTTAGCAGGGCAGGGTAGCGTAGGTATTACGAAATATAGATATACAGTAATAAAATATAACTTATTTAAAAATCGAGATAGTAAGTATAGGTACTACTATAGAAAGCTTTTTTATCAGTCTTTTAAAGTTAAATAGATATAAAGGATTTAAAAGAGTAGGTACTTATATATTTAAGTTAGATGGGACAAAATTATAATATCGAATGTTTATAAGAGGATAAGAACTAGGTAGGTATAGAGTACTTTATAGATACCAATATTTAATTTGATTATATCCTCTATATTATTAGTAAATTTAATCTAAGAATAACATCACCTACTCCTCGAATAAACCCCCCCAAGGATCAAGAATCAAGAATCAAGAATCAAGATACTATACCAACCCATATTAAAATTAAATCTCCAAAACTCAAAAAAAAACACTTTATTCAGCCATCTCCTCCCCCATCTCCCCTCCCTCAAACCCCCCACCTAATAAAACCCACCTCATGTACTGTCCCAAAAAAACCCCCCCCACGTACTGTCCTGTCCCAAAAGAAACTTCCCAATCCC